TAATACCTTTGGAACACTCATAGTGTACACATCTGCGTTGGTTACCAGTAATTAACGAATGTTTTGCTCTTATCAGATGATATAAATCATTCGTCCGATGACATTTAGCAGCTGCCGTTGGAAATTAAATTAATACATGCATTAACGCGAATTTGATTTGCAAATATAGTGGTAGTCACGCAAGTAAGTTCGTAGACGGTATTACTATCGGGCCTTACAGTACAGTTCACAATTAAAATAACTGGATCTCGCTCCTAGGAATCTACACTGCCCACCCAATATTAATTATAAATGCTAATTGTGTCTTAATTAAGACATTCCCTTTTAAATGCTGCTTGCCTAACCCCGATACAATACGATGAACCTTTTAACGTGCTGAAACCACGAGCGGAATGCAAAGGTTTCTGGTTTGAAGGACCAATCGTGTAAAAACTTCGTTTTTGTTTTCTGTAAACACATCTGTCTTATTTATTGTGTAAAATAACATAACTAAAACTTACATAATTTAGATGCCAATTTGTTATCCACTAGTACCAATATATTGTGATGAGGCCAAAACAGGTTGAATTAAATGAAGTACTTGGATTAATGTTATAAACACCTACTTAACTTACGATAGTACTTGTATAATTTCCTGGTTTTATGAACACATTCCAGTCAGGACGACTTGCTAAGGCTTGAATTTTAATCAATAAGTTTGAACATAAACAGACATAACCATTTTATCGTTCGTTAATATTATTTTATTTTTGAGCGAAATGACCATATAGGCAGTACCGATTTCAACGACTGGCATTACTGAATGACAATTTCTATATTATACGTAATTGTTTTATTTTACGTAGAGTCTTATTATGCGAGAAGATAAGGTCCCTTGTTTCTATTGATAAATCTCTAAATGTACAATGGAATGAATGATATCTTTCTCAGATCGATTACGGCGATAGTTAGGATTATACTTATTTCTAGGTTTTACATCATGAACGACTTCTAATTTCGGAAAAATGTCGTAGATGTGTTTTTTGTCGTCTATTTTACCACATTTGAGTAGGTATTGCTGCGGTATAAATAGTTTCTATCTCCGAACTATATTTTTTATCTCGCTTCACAGCATTGTTTACTCTTCGTAAAACGGATTCATCGTCAGGCCAAAATGTACCTTATAGCTCGGAGTTGTGTTTAAATTGGAGATTAATGTTGAGTGCACAGTGTCATCGACAACAGGTATCTGCTCACTTACCTTGACCGCGCACGTTGTCCTCTCACTTACCTATAGAGTGATCATAGACGTCTTTGATGCGCTAGCGCAGCGAGCAATGAGCGCCCGAATGCGGGCCCGCGCTTGTTGTAGTCCATTCAAATAAACCGAGAGTCTTGACGTTAACTTTATTGTTATTTCGTTTATGAATTTGGAGAGACTTCCCTCAGAATCATTAGATTGATTTATTTCTGTGTCATCAGGATCTATTCAGGTGTCAGGATCTATTGGGCAGGCTTCTATGTCTCTATGTGCTAGTTTATTATGAACTGTAGGGTGCATTGGATATTGAAATAGTATTCTAACATCGTCTTCTTCTTTTTCTAATTTCATCATGAAGTCATGGCGACGAGTAAATAATTTAAAAAGTTTAAATTGTATTCACTCTTGTCTAAAGTTGGGATCTGGAATATTTGGGCATTCAAATATGCACTCAGAATAGAATTAGGTATTTTTGCTTTGCATGGGCTGAAAATTTTACATGTTACAATAGATTTAAAATGCTAATTCTCCTGAGGTTGGATATCCAAACGCCTGGAACAAAAAACAAATGATTAAAACATTCGTGAAGGTCTCTTCGTATAATTTTGGTTCAATAATGCATTACAAATAAATAAGTGATAATCTTTTGTGTGTTCGTGGTTATAATTAATTTGAATGTCAAGCCTATGTTTATTGCAAACAGATTTTAATTTATGAGCTTTGTGTTCATTTATATCTGCATTCAAATCAGCCAGGTTCACGTTTGGGACTTAACTTTTTGCTTTGGGATTTGATGAAGGTTGACTTTGGTGTTATTCGTCTTCGTTTTGTAGAGTCTTGCTGGTAGAGTTTTGTACAACCCCGCCTGCTTAGATTTATTTCTAACGTCAAACGGATTTTCCTTTTCGCTACGCAGAAATGAGCCTCTATATTTTAGCATAGAGTCTTCCTGGTAAATCACTGATTGTTTGGATTAACTTGATGACGATGCTGGCTTCTTATCTGGCCATAAAACGTGTAAGATGTCTGTAAAAAATATAACGTTTCTGTAATACGGTTCCAGATGGCTGGTCGTTCAATATGCCATCTCATAAAAAACGTTACTGAATTCTAAGTGAGGACACTTCGATCAATTTTTGTCAGTGATGTACGTTACCTTACATCGGTCTACACGCGCGTTTAATTTGAATATGTTATCGTGCGTGTTGAAACGATTTATTCAATTTATGCCAATAGGTTGCGGGACGTCGCATGAATCATTGCCGCTCAATCGTCGGGAGATTAAATAAATCGGCGGTTATTGTCATCCATTGTGCGCGGGCGCAGGGCTCCTTTAACGGGACGTCGCCTCAATTATTTGCTCGCCTCGAAACATTGATCTAAATGCAAGCTGATCAATAGCTCTCGATCGTTTATGAGTTATTATTATTGTAGAGAGCCTTTTGAAGGGCAATGAGCTGTTGTGCGAAAAAGAAAAACCTATGCTCCTTCTTAGTTTTTCGCAATACTATATTAACTGAGAATGTTTTCATTCGTTTGATGAAGTCAATTAATACGTCTCGTCAAAAATAACTTTTATCACGGACTAAACGTAACAATCATAACCGTCGGTGTATTTTGGACAGCAACGTGCCCGAGTAGCTGCCTCCCGTTATCAGCGACCGATAGCGTGCAGATAGTTCTCCCATTGCACAAAATGTACTTATCTCGGAATGCAGTCACCGCCGCGCTGCACTTATCGACGCTCGTCGAAAAATGCGCCCCACTCACCCCGTTGCGTCTGCTCAACACCAACTGTAATTAATATATCTCTGCAATAGTTTTCCTACTGGAACTGGTTGTAGCGCAAGCCGGCCGGTGTCGGCAGTGGTCATCGGCCCCCACTGGTGAGTTTCGCAAGTCCAGTTAACCGTATGAGTCGTTCACATTAATATTCTACTGTTGCTGTTATTGCGAACTTTACGTCTGCGTCCTTTGCCTTTATGGGTCTCAATGTTATTGCAGTGTAAACTCAGACATATTTGTTAACATACGAGGGGCGGCTGAAAAGTTTTGAGCCTAAGGTATTAAAAATGCCGATAGAAAAGTATCAAAAATATATTTTTCTATCTAATCTCCCTCTACTACAACGCACTTCTTACATTTGTGTAAAAGAGCTTTTAACCCACTGAAAAAAATTTCGCAAACTTTGCCTTCGAAATGATCCTCTAACGACGCCTTCATTTCTTTGTCACTCAAAAATCTTCGTCCCTGGAGGTCCTTTTTCCAAATTGAGTATTAGAAAAAAAAGCTAAGGATTTGGACTAAACTGTGTGATAGGTGATTAATTTCTTGAAATCCAGTTTTACCCGGGGCAAGCCTTGCAACATGCGCGGTGTGCGCGGGCGAATTGTCTGGCAATAACAGATTTCATTTCGCCAGTTTACCTCTTATTATTTCGACAACCACTTGACGCACTCTTATCAACAGTACGGTAAAATAATCCTCGTTTATTGTAGTTTTTTTTAAGTAGGTAGTCAATGAATAAAATTCCTCCACAATCCCAAAAATAGTGGCTATGAGCTTGGGTGTCGATCGCTCCACTTTGAATTTCCGCGGCGGCGTTTTCCCTTTTCAATCCATTGCACTGACTCTTGNCAAATGAAGTCCCAGACTCCCCATAAACTGTTGACATCTCTTCAAATATTACCGTCAGCGTTTTGTTCTTCTTTCTGAGGCATTTTATGACAACTGTGTACTTCAATTTCGTACATTGCGCGGATGACTGAGACATGATGATGTTTACGGATTAATTACTAAAAGCGTGATGATGCTAATAAAATGAAACTTTGTACATATACTAAGGAGGTTATTGGCAAATTAATAAAATTTAGTGCGAATCAATAATAACACTTGAAGATACTTAGGCTCAAAACTTTTCAGCCGCCCCTCGTATAAATCGATGAGATAAATTGCGGTGATCGATTGGCTTAATTATGATTTTTATGTGTGATCAACAGCTGCAAGATGCGTTTTCACTTCGTTATCCGGGTTGCAAGAAAGATTAAATGTTATACTTCCACACGTGTGTCTCATAAAGAACCCCGATTTTTTTGGCTCACCCCAAAGCGTTGGTTCCCGCGAGGGTCGAAAGGCGACAAAAAAGGCATTAACGCATATTGTATGTAAACTGTGCACGACTAGGACGCGTTTAAAACGCTTCCTTCGAAGGACAAAGACATTCCATAGTGTCGAGACGAGAGGGAATCTTTGGAGGAGGGCGTCGTGCAGACGGCTCCCATCGTGTGTAAATGCGTGCCGCACAAAAAACGGATAGACGGCCAATAAAAACCCCGTATGGGGAGAAGCTGAGGGGCGGGCGAAGCGGGTGCATTGCGCTGCGCCTGCGCCGGTAATTGCGCGCTGCAGTCTCTCCTCGCCGCGGCCGCTGCGCGCACGCAGCCTCTCCACCCTCGCGAGCCCGAGCCACGCTCGAGGGCTTTCCATTTGTTGGAAATTTATGAACGATCGACACATAATTCCGGTCCTTATTTTTGAAATTGTCGATCACGTTGTTGCACGCTCCGACTCCGTTATACGGAAGCGTCACAGTCGTCAGAGCTTTGCGTGAGCCGCCTTTCCGCTCGGACGGCCGCGTCCGATTAGGGGTTGTGAAGCATATTACGATAGTTACGGCCGCGCTATGACGTGAGTTGATCTAATAGTTTTAAGTAAATCTATAACTTTGAATAGGATTTGATCGTTCTTTCTATTGTTGCAGGGCGAGTGCGGTCGCTAAAGTCTCAGCGGGAGCCGAGGCGGGTCCTCCGGGCCCAGCGGCCGAGGACGCCGCCATGAAAGGCGTCGAAGCCACTCCCGAGGAGCAGGAACGGTTGGCCACCGGCAACAACAATGGCTCCCTCGACTGCAAGATGCCGGCGAACCAGCTCATCGACCCCAGCTGCTTCCATTCGACGCGAATGTTCATGGTCGTGTTCCTCTCGGGCTGGGTCCTGCAGGGCATGTTCCTCACTTACTTCGTCAGCGTGACGACGACAATCGAGAAGTTGTTCAAGATCGACTCGAAGACGACGGGGCTGCTGCTGGCGGCGACGGAGATCGGGCAGATATGCACGGCGCTGATCCTGACGTACCTGGCGGGGCGCGGGCACCGGCCGCGCTGGATCGCCAGCATGATGCTGGTGCTGGCCGCGGGCGTGATAGGCTGCATCGTCCCGCACCTGCTGTACGGCACGCGCCTGCTGGACGTGCACCTGGACTCGCACCGCGGCGGGGAGGCGCCCACGTGCCTGCCCGACGACTCCAACGGCACCTACTGCAGCATGATGCAGCTCAACAGCACCAGGGAACGCAACGAGATCACCATGGTCGTCATCCCCTGGCTGTTCATCTGCCTGCTGGTGGTGGGCGTGGGCCAGACCGGCATCGCCACGCTCGGCATCCCCTACGTGGACGACAACGTCGGCAGCCGCCAGTCGCCGCTCTACATGGGTGAGTGATTTGTTGCCGCGCCGATGGCCGCTCCTGACTTTGTTCCGGGCGTTGCACTAAATTGCCGAGCGCCGTCGAGTATCAATGGGGCGTAAGCTCTGAAACAAAGCTCGGAGTTAATTTCGACTCATAAATTGCGTCTCGATTATTACCGGCGGATTCGATTGTTAGCGTTTTCTGAGCAATAAATTCGGCATATAAAAGTGTATAAATCAAAGCCGACGCCCACCGCGCCGCCTACCGCGTGCTCTGCCGGACGCCTTCCCGTCTGTTGCGTAATTAACAATAATGTGCAATACAATGCATAATGCATATTTTTATGCTTTGACCTTTTAATTTATGGACGTAAACGCGTATCTTATAAAAGAAAGCGAATGCCGTGCTTGCCTCTTTTGGATATCTTATTACGGGTGAAATCGGTCGATCAGCTCGCGTGCATGTCGAATGCAGGCGGAGAATAAATAATAAATAGTTTGGAAGCGGATGCAGGCGGACTGGTTTCGGCTTACAGCGAAGTAGTCAAAGCAAGTTAACAAAGGGTCAGTGCTGGCGCGCGCAGTAACTCCAGGGTTAGGTTTGTTGTGTCTGCGCCGCGTGCTAAGCTGCTTCGCGGCGCCCGCGCCCGATAGCGCGTGACCCGGCCGAACCTAGGGTGCGGCTAACAAACAAGCTTTAAGCATCCTATAATAAACTTATCGATTATTTTTTTGTTGACATTGTAGTAGTAAACACACTATGATGCATTCACTTAAAAATTAAAGACGTTGCGGTAAAACTTACAACTTACAAATCACTAATATTAAACTCTACATCTGAAAACGCACAAACCTTAATATTTTTTATTGGTAAAAATAAAATTTTATAAATATACCTACAACTGCGTAAAAAGCTCACTTTGACGATGGAACATATTTCGACATCATATTATTACTCGTGATGCGAGTAGTCGGACGAAATCTTTCCTACTCTATCGTTGCATAATATTTTTTGTTCTTAATTATATTCGATTTATTGGTGTTAATAGATGTGACAAATTAATAAATGAAAATCCCATTTTAATGTAATTAAAAGATCACCTGTATCCTAGCGCCTATAATTGAGTTAACTCTCTCAATCGTTAAAGTTGATATCATTTAAACGACATTAATTTCTCAGAACATATTAACAACCGATATAACAAAACATGTGATAAAAATATGTTCTCAAACAAGATACACTGTAAGTATTAAACAATATTATCAATAGTTAAATTGCCTCTTAGTTATTATAAACTCTACTTAATAATGTCAGTCGGTTTTTATTTCAGAAAACAATAGCACGTATGCAAATGAATTGTGTGCGTAACGGGCTACCTAGGACACCCACATCTTAAATTATCAATAGAAGTTTTTAAATAAACAACTTGAAAAAATCTAAAAATGTAGTTTGAGAAGCGACTCTATTCGCTGAAGAAATTTTAATAACGAATAGAAGTTTTGTAGACAATAGGTATATTTTTTTGTGGACGTGGTTAACTATTTTTACGATGCACATTTTATTGCAATACCAGAAATTCCCATTTCGGATATGTGCACTCTTTTAACTTGCATCATCTTCAAATGTTTTACACAAATTAAGATTCTGTTTCTGATTCTGAAGTATTCGGATTTCAATTAAGATTACTGTATTGTATCAAATTATTGTCGTATTAGGTACTGAAAAACTGGTAATTTGTAATTCGTGATGGTGCTCTACAATGTTTCATTTTTATTACGTTTTGTGCTATACTTTCTTTTTCAACTTCATAATTTTGAGAAAATTGTTACTAACACGATTATGGACCCCGGTCTGACAATAAATTTTTTCAATTCAATTCAATAAGCTGCAGATGTTAGTTTCTCCTATTATTTAAATAAAATAGATAACGTGTTTACAATATTCTCAGCACCGAGAGAGCTGCCACCAACAACGTGTATTTACCGTCCTACGTATACTCTTCATTTCTAAGGCTGGTGGGTGTGTGAAAAAGAGGCCTATGATCATTATCTCATTATTTCAAGGCATGTAATAATTGTTTTAGAATGTTTTACGTGTAAATGCATTTAAGGAGCTCTGGTGATCTGCCTTTTTCTGCTAAAATTACTAGATTATGAAACTGTATGTTCAGTAGCAGATATAAAGAGATAACGCATTTTATCGCGAAGTAATTAAAATGTTTTCAAAATAAAATAAAAACTGAACAAAAATATACTGCAATGGTAGCTGATGCTGAAAGGAGGATGGATGAAATATGGATATCCTTGCATACTGAAATGATGTTATGATCACATACAGGCAGTACTAGTTTATCCAAAGAGTTTTTATGTTTCATAAAAATGCAGCGTAATGCTGCAATATGCATACTTTCTGTTTCAGTTGATTTTTATCATATCATGCGTAAAACCTGCCATAGTCCATTGGCATAGAATACCCTAATGCTAAAAACTTGCTGGATTAGCTGGATAGCCAGTTCTCGCCGTGATATCGCAACCGCAATAGGCTATAAATGCTGCGCCGACCGGCTCATCCCGTCTTGCCAAGTGTCCAGTTTACCACTTAGCGTTTCCTGGAGTAATTCAATCGTGCGTCCATCTTCTCTGCGGATATTTTTATACAGTACGTTAATCTTTCTTACACAGCTGTCAGGACAGTTCGTAATAACTGAACCGACGTCTCCTAAAGCGCATTACTATCCGTCCTCACCAATTCTAGCCTGATTACATAATAGCACGTTAACCGCAGCAATTCCAAGAAGGGTTCTCGGAGTTGCGTGACAATGTGATCTAAATTTCAATGCGCCTGCGATTCTGGACCAAATTTTCTGTGTTGTAAGCATGAAATTACCTTCTGTCTGTGTGTTAGGACTGAAGTTCTCGTACGCATAGTAGTGGTTGGTGTTGCATTGGATGCAATTGCTATTTCAGCGGCGCGCCGGCGCAAATGTGTCAGTGGGCCGTCGGGACGTCTCGCCGCGACAATTTCAGCTCGTTGTCGATATTACGTCGTCGATCTTGCTCCTTCGACGATGCCCTAATTTCGACTAGTACTTTGCCGGCGACATTCGAGTATGATTGTGACATCTCCAATAGGATACCAACAATATTGGGATGTAGTTCAGAGTGTAAACTAAAGGTCGCGCGGTAAATAGGACAATTATTAAAACAAAATTGATCGAGGAATTTTTTTTACTTGCTCCAAATAATGTAATCAGTATTGATTGATGTATTATTATGCAACATTTCGAGGGGGGTATTGTTGATTAATACTAATACTCGTAATAAATATGATAACGATAAGTTTGCTGTGTACTGTATGTGGACATTGTACACTTTGAACATCATGATTGTTTTGTTTAATAATCTTATTATAGCGCGCTCGATTCCATTAGATTTACTTTTTGTTTTTAGAAATCTTAAATAAGAGATGATATTTCTTTCAAAAGAGTTTGGAAAAATCGAAGTCAGTATTTTAAATAGCTTTTTTGATTAGGCATTAATCGATTGTTTCTGATTTATATCTAAGGCTATAGCGGAACAATGAGGTTTCATGGGAAAACTGACATGTGCAAGAGTGCACCTATTCAACTTTAAATCTATCTAAGCGAGTAAGGACTTGGAATGTGTGGAATTAAACACCTAATTATTGTAGATGGTGCCAGTTCTCTCTCTTTATTGTGATTCTTAGGATGATACTCATAAATCTGCGCTAAGACCACGCGTCCAACTCTCAGAAAATAATTTATTTTGTTTGGACTCGACGTAGTGTATTTCTGCGTAAACTTTCCTCGTGGTGAATCAGTCGTTCAGCGTTGTTGCGGCATATAGGTCAATGGGGCGCGTCTAAATTGGGACAGGGGTACCTCGCCACGTGCCTCGTGGCGTAGGTTTTTATTGGATTTAGGTTACAACTAGGGCACGAAGCCATTGACCGTTATGCAACTCGATATCGACGTTTAGTGTCGAAGAGCTAACGAAGGTTAGAATAAATGACTACATACGATGGGGATCACTGCCTGAGTCACTGGCTAATGCAGTCGTGTTGTTGGTAATAAATCGATAATAAAATCCCTCGCAGGTTACTGCTTGGACTTCTGCCAGTACAGATTAACAAATCGTATTGCCAGACGAAAAGTCAGAGAAGAAATATTCCATAAACGTCCAAGGCATCGACGAACCCTTGGCTATTAGGTTTCGCGATCACCACAATCACTGATCCGATTGCTTTACAAAGCACAATGAAATAAGGGAAAGTGTTATTTAGTATCGTCAGCGGTTTAGAGCACAGGTGCATTGTAAGCGATCTGCGCACGTATTGCGTTACGTGTCACAGAGTCGGTGCGAGCGCATGTGTGCATTATGCAACTTTTTTGTGCCCGCATTCGCGATTCGCGCGATCTGCAGTGACATAGGTCAGTGCCGTTACGACATAGTTGCAACATGAGCCTGGATTAGATTAAGTTTACGATTAGATAAATACACTTGGTATTCGCCGAATATCGGTATTATTTTGCGATTTGCGATAACGCACCAAAATGGACTTTCCGCGCTGCAGTAATCTGCAGTAGACTTCATCACTGGTGAAAATCATGTAAATCGAAGTTTAGACGGCGGAAATTGAAAGTGAAGATATAAAGTGTAAATCCACAGAGCCAGACGTAACGAACAGTCGCATGTCGTATGAAAGACCAATTAAGACCATATAGACGCAGAAAAGAAAAGATACTCAAAGCTCTATCACAGCTAACAGAATCAAACAAATTGCTTTGACTATAATCCCGGCTATTACGTTCATCTCAATTATAGCATTAATAATTATGTGGTCTTGTTTTGCGCAACCCTAAAGATGATAAATTTTTCCAATGATCCTCTCTATAGATCATGTTGATTCACAATCGCGACGTGCAGTGCGCACGCGCTCGTGGGTCACTTTTATAATTTGCGTTGGTGTTTACTTTGTCATCAATTATGAAAATAGTGAAGCCTTTGAAGTTTCGGCAATTAGGTACGTCAAGTTGAATTTTGTAAATATCTCGTGAGACTAATGGCCCACTATTTATGCATTTTGTAAAAACCAATAATTCTGCATAATTCTGGACTAAAACAGACGCACAACCTTTTTTACCGCTATACATTGCTGAAAGAGCTTCACGATGGAAGGCTTCCTCTGTTGTCCTACGTTCGTTTCAGCCAAATGACGTCCACTGCTGGACAAAGGCCTCTCCCAAGGTTTTCCACAATTAACGGTCCTGCGCTGTCCGCATCCAGGCTCTTCCCGCGACCTTTACCAGATCGTCGGTCCACCTAGTAGGAGGCCTGCCCACGCTTCGTCTTCCAGCCCGTGGTCGCCACTCGAGAACTTTTCTGCCCCAACGGCCATCGTCCTTATATCATTAGGAACATCCTTCGGACCAGCATTAAAATAGTAGGTGTATCGCAATACAAGTGAAAACCGCCGATCTTTTTTTAGTTTTTTAAAATAAGAATGAGACAGGTCATATTGTTGAAATGCCACATGTAGATAGATTTTTTCTCAGCCAATGTTTACTTGCACACTAACATGGTTACACGAACTACGTCATTGTTTCAACAGGTGTGTTCTCCATTTCTAGAAACAATGACTGTCGCCTCTTATAGGAAAGATACGACATTCTAAAATCGTATTGGTATAAGATCAAAGTTCAGTGACCGGTGTACTCTGATGATGACTTTTTCTCGTTAATCATGCGGTTGGTTAATGACTTGCGAAACACTTCGAGACAACATTTTATTAAGGAAAACATCGTTGAGAATTTGTTACATCATTTTGTACGAACGAGCCCTTTTACGTTAATTTGAGTTGACGGACGAATGGTTTCTTATCAAGATCTACTGTTTTGGGATTACACAATGAGCGTTAAATGATGTCAAGTGTTGACTTGGTAAAACGAGAGCAAATGCATGTCATTCATGATTTTCACGATTCATATAATGGTCGCATATGATTGTAGAACCAGATGACCTTATTTACTGTGCGGACGCTGCAAGGTTATCTCTCCTAGCCCTGTTGCCTTTCATATAAATACATTTCAATTTTAATGTAGATTCTATTTCGTTTTTAAAACATGTTAAATAGAATGTAGAGATCATTTGGGTCAGTGCAATTGAATATTTGAATATTTTAACCGCACGAGTTGTATTATAATTAGATTTTTCCATGGACACAATTTTAAAAAGCTCGACTGATATGATAATAAAAAAATACACACGCATATGAACTGACTACAAAGATTTTGAAGACGCAATTCGTCATTTTTTGACAATCATCGAACATTAATTCGCTGGAGCATCACTCGGAAACGATGTTAATGATGCATTGGAACCGGTAAAGACGTTGTAGCTGGACTTAATAAAAACTTGTATGGAGTCGCGAGCATCGTCCGTTTTGAAAAACGATCCAGACGAGGCCATTATTTATTACAAAAGCGCATGATGATAATAGGAACGTATATTTTATTTTCCTCGGAGCACGAAGCACGCGAGTCGATCGAGCCGTATGTTTTTTGGCAAGCGATGCGGTTGGATTCTGAGAATTATTACATTTGGGACCTAAGTACCTGATTGTTTTTCGGTCAATCACCCTAAAGTGGCTTTTGTTATTTTATTATACCAGGTCTTTAATTTAATTTTTTGAATGTGGGACAGGTTTTTTTGATGGGGTCGAAGATTTCTCACGGCCAAAGGCGAGCGTTCGAGACCTTTCTGTTCCACTTTAATTTATCTGTATGCAGCTAGCTATCAATACTCCATTACTATGCATCAGTCATTAAAGTTTCCTGGATTTTCAAATACAGAAAAAGCTTAAGTACATACGTGTTCTCAGAATAGTAATTTGTTGAGCAATCTCGAAACCTATTTCTCGGGCGAGTGTTTGCGGTCGTCGTTTTCTACGACGCGCGGGGGCCGCTGACGGCCGCAGTTCTTCATGCGATAATTTGTCGACTCGGGTTCATCGACCCTCAATTAGCCTCTGAGCCCTAGTCCTATTGAGATAAACGACAGGGGTCCATTCTGTGTCCGAGAGTCCATCTTGATTTGCATAATGACCATCTCCGCCTCCGCGATTACGCCCATTAATATTTACTGCATGATTAACCGTTCGATAATGATGTTTCCCTGAATTATCGCTGAATCCGCCTTGTGCTGGATTGCGTTTCATGCCTCGGGATGATAGATTTTTTAGACAGTCATTCTTTATGTATTACAAAATTAATGTAACGTGCGATGTAAGCGTCTCGTGAGATCACTGGAGCGGAACGTGTATGAGTTTTTTTATGCCAGTGCTAAATACAGATTAGGATACATTCCGAATGTGTTTGCTGCAAATGCTGCAATACTGATAAAATGATTCAGTCGGATAGTTCTCAATTACTATGCCTCCATGATTTTCCTCTGAATAGGCCTTCAAGGAGAATCGCTGAAAGGAATTAGAAGGGCTATACTCAGTTGTAAGATATAAATCTTTTCTGGGATTTTATGTTCTTGACACTTGTTGCTCTACTCGTATGTCGTCAGAAATGTCTTGGAAACGAATGTATTTCTTACAATAATGACTATCCTATCATTTAAAGTTGTCAAAACCACGCCTTAACGCGTGCTAGATGGTCAAATTGTTTCTATGTTGGAGTTTCAGTCATGTTCATCTATTAATAGTGCTTCTCTATTGTCCACAGCGATTACGATCGGCATCCGAGTGATCGGCCCAGCGCTGGGCTTCATGCTGGGAGCCTTCAGCACTGGAGTATACGTGAACCCTCTGTTGGACCCTGGATACTCCTCGGACAACCCTAAGTGGGTCGGCGCGTGGTGGCTTGGTGAGTAAATTGCCTGAAGTTTTGCCTTGGTTTTTTGGTTGATAAACTAATGGTTTAATAAATTAAATGTAGGGCAGCAGGATATCGGATAATCTTTTAGTTGGAAAATTATCATTTTGTTAAAGTAGTATTTAATGTGGCTTCATATTTAGTTAAAAGTTGCTCTTTTGACCCAAATTTTTCACAATGATAAAACCACTTAACGTATGTATGGCATGTCAACTAGTGACATTTTCTATCGCGGATTTTATATACGAGTAGATTATGTAGGTACATTGTTTCAACAAATATTTGGCAAAATAGACAATGCTTCTAAGACAATCAATCTTTTCAAGCTTACAACTGTGTGCCATTTTTTCTAAAATTTAATTACTATGTTGATTCTGATGAAGACGGATTTGATAGTGATTTACTCATACCCTTGAAGCTGATGTGGACTGATTATGATAATAATCAATGAAGATGCACCAGTATGACTCGGAAATTTTGTAACGTGTCTATTCAGTTTCACGCGAACGCATAAATTGGTACTCGCTGAAGCTTCACCCGGCCGAGCAATCAGCCCTGATGAATTACTACCAGCCGCACTCGTAAATGCGGGATTAACATAAATTATTAGCGCTGTACAGAATCATAATGCACTTCATGAAATTGTAATTGGCATTAGTGCAAATCTGGATCTACATAACTAGTTCTTAACCGATCAATTTACAAGTTCCATTTTATCCGCACATTGCTTAGCATACCTGACTATTGTCGCAGCTAACAAACAGGTGTCTCGCTAAATTTAAAATTTAACAGTTAAATTTGGAATAGATGACACAGAAATGCTCCCGGCGGTAACACAAGGAGCGCAGCCCCTCGCATTCCATCGCGGAACCACCATCTACCGTTAGCAAGCGCTTGCACAGATTTGCGCGCAAAATCCACGAAGAAAGCATGCGCGTGACTTTAGTACCAATCGAATGCGTGCGTAGGCTGCCAACCGCAGCGTGCACGCAGCCTTCATACTAAAAACCTTTATCACCTAGAAACCAAGAACGAAAATCCTGTAATTCAAAATTTTAGGAAGCCTCTCCGGCTGATTGTGTAGTGTAGAAAACTGCTACAAACGTGTTTCGACTCGCAATAAAGAGAATTCGCAAATACTCATTGAATGGTTTCTGCGTATTTCCTTATTGTTCAACTGCCATAAGTTTATGAATGAAGCTCTGAATTTCAATAACTTGTTTAACGCACCACTTGGTAATATTTTTATGTTATATTTAAATTTAAGTACAAACACCGATCATAAAGATTCGCGGGGGTCCGTCAAGTGATTCAATGGCTGCGATTTCACTTGAAATCTGCATATCAGTCGGTATCATTTACGCAAATCGCTTTCCTGCGAATTTGCAAGCCCGCTGCACAAAATTTCTTAACAGATAATAAGCGCTTGGATTGCATCGCGCAACATGTTAATCATCGTCCATTACACCTTCCCTCATTCGGCTTCAATCACATGTCAATTTTGGAATTATTACTTCTGAGAAGGGTTGCTAGAGAAATCTGATGTTTCATCATTGTGTTTCTGAATTTACATTGTTTTGACGTGGAGTTTAGTGGGCGTGTTGGCACTCGGCGTGGTGTGGTCGCGTTGTTTACACTTAGTGCTGCGAGTGCCGGCTGCGGCGCTGACACGTGGTGCGGTGCAATCTCGGTTTGGCTTTCGCTTTTTTCTCAGTGTATCGGCGGGCCGTCACGCTGCGTCGGCGCTCGCTCCACATTACATAACGCCAGGCGCGTTACATCACGCCGCGTCACCACAACTAAAATAAGCGCTCTATCTACAGCCGGTCACGGCCAAGGCTGCGCGCCTTGCCGACAATTATGCCGCCGCTGCTCGTAATGAGGATTTAGTGGGTGGACACGCGACCGCCGCCTTGCTCACTTTTACTTTTAAACCGGTTCTGACTTGACCTTCGTCTTCTCGACTCTATGCTACAAATGTCACGAGATACACCCGCAGCGTCTGCCTTTCTGAAGCCACCGCGCATTCTATAGTTACGTCACGTTTGTAACTTTAGTCCTCGTAGATCCCTGATAGGCATGTAAGGAGAATACAATTTTGAGTCCCACCGTGGGTAGGCCCCGTGTCTAGTGAACGCCCTTGACTGAGCGTCGACCGGGCGACCTTGTAACCACACAAACGTTTTCTGTTTGGTTATATTCGAATTGTTTACATTTGAGCCTAGGGTTCCGCGCTGATTCAAGGGTGATAAATGGGCTATCACCAACCTTGATACTGACAGAGATTTTCCAGTAGATATTGGTAGATTGGTGTTTTGTACATAATATAGCATTTCGCGGCTACGTAGATGTAGGAAGAGATGTAGATTGTAGAGTTTTGAGTTGGGTGATGATTTATAGCTCCCGATCCCGATAATCCAAATTCATTCTTAGATATTTAATAAATAAACATTTTTTGAATGCGGTTGGTACATTTCCATATTTTTCCAACTGGTGGAACGAAAATAAACGCTCTTAAGCATTCGTTGTGTTTTCATTCCTAATTACTTTAATACGTTGTACTTTTCAGAAATTCTTTAAAAAGCTGCATGTGCAAGCCAAATTACGGTGGGCGAATTTCATGCGTCGTTACAAGTGTTGGTACATTTCGTTTTTATTTTCATTCGCTTCGTTTCATAGGATTTATTGTAGGATGCTTTTAAGTCGACGGAATTTGGTGTTTGTATTCGTCGTAACAACATAACAAAACACGCGAGCATGGATGGGCACATGGCCTACCTAAGTACTGCGGAAAAACATAATAGCCATCGGTTTTTGCTATTTTGCTGAAGTAGTTTAGTGGTTTAACAATACGATCGAATCACCTAAAGTCGTGTTGAACATAAACAACGTGTTTTTAAAAGAACTTAAAATCCCTCGCGCCATTAAACGTGTGAATGACTCTTGTTTTCCTTTTGCTGTCGCAGTCTCCGTCTGGTGTTAGGTGTGTTGTGGTGGGCCCAATTAAGTATTATTTTATCTGCTATGGTTTTCATCTGAGTTTCTTATTAATGCGTTCGTGTTTGCCCAAATTACAGATTCATTCTTTTCGTCGCGCTCGCTGGCGCCTCGCCGAGCGTGAATTTTTAACTACATCTTTGATGAATAAATAGTACCTGTATGTGGGATTATCGTGCTTTATACCTGGCCTTTTCTCACTGCCGCCTGATAATTGTAACATCCTACACTCGATCCTTCTGATAAAATGTGCAAATAGAAGCTACGTGTACTGTTTGGTCGAAATTTTTTTGCACTGACGATTTCGGCTTTGGTTCTGCAATCTCATGTTTATGGTATTCGTAATAGTCTTTTCAGATTTGTTTGTCTTCAGCTTTATTATATCCACGTTAAATAGACTTTGAAATTTTCGCACATTATAGGTACATACTTATTACTAGCTCTATAAGACTTAAAGCAAATTATGCTTCATACAATTAGCGGATCATGGTTGAATGCCCGTTTCTTTGTAAGGAAGGAATAAAGATTGTGGTTTCTCACTGAACGGAAATGTAATATTGTTTGTATGGTTGAAAGAAGTTTTAACCACTGTGTATATTCCAATTTATATACTTTTTGCAATGTCTAGACAAATTAATCAATTGAACTCGATGCTTGAACTGGAACTCTCATGGTAGTTATGTTTTCATAAGCCGTTTCGCTTAAATGTCTTGTTTTAAACACTTATGTCGATTCGATTTCTTGGTTGACAAAATGTTATCTTCAGTTTTCGGAGATATCGGTTGGTGTAAAAAATATTCAGGCTTTTGATTTACAAAAGTGGATTCGACAGGTGCGGACGAACATTTTATGACGTTTAACACATTTGAATCTTCAGCTTCGAATACATTATTTTATTTATGGCTGCGTATTTTATGAGCAAAAGAAGTATCCATCTCGGGCGACACATCATGCACCCGTATGAGACAGCAGATATAAAATATCATGCTCCAAAGAATCTGGAAATTTATAGACTCAACAACGGGACTAAGCAGTGAACTCTAAAGACAAGGGCTGCCACAATAGATCAAACCTGGTCGAGCTGGCGCAAATGAAGGCCCAAAAAACCAATAATAATAAATAATATGGCTGCGTATCGTTATTCGTTACTTGTAAGACTGATAACGTCTAAATCTGAAAGTAGTTGATGGGCTCCTTATTAAACACACACTTCAATCAATTGACACTACTTTACGTTTAGTATAGATCACTTATGTGTAACGTGGTTGATGTTGGCAAACGTTTATTTTCAGTTTACATTACCTTTAGTACATCTCTATCTCTATGACTCTACATGCAAATCTTTCATTGACCTTATTCCATGAAACTGTCGATCCTTCAGGACGAGTAGTTGTTTATTTAGCGAACGACAAGGAAAAAGATTTTGACAACAACGATTCGGCGAACAAGTTGCCAAAAATCTCTTCGACAGAAATCAATTTAGGCGCTGTCTGTATGCACCGGTAATGTGTGTGTACATTTATGTACGTATTCATATTTGTTCGTAGACTAAACTTCCCGACAAAGGTGACTGAGTTTTTTCAGCCACTTCTTCAGCTCATATCGTCGCTTGCCTCTCTAACTGACTTATCTGACATTTTTTTCGAAACTGAGTTATCTACACCATCTTAATCAATTTCGAAAGACGAATCGATCTGTTTAATCACCTGAAAATTTTGCAAAATGTTAGTTACGTCAGTTAGAGAGGCAAGCGACGATATGTTGTCCCGTAGTGGTGGTAGGGCCTGCTATATTTGGGAGGTATTAAAGCGCCCTGGAAAGGGCCTATGTGGTGAATAAACTATTTGATTTGACTTGACTATTTGTAATTGAAGTGTAACTACGTTGCAGGCATGGTATTCATCGCGGTCTTCGTGGTGTTGCTGGCGGGACTGATGTTCTGCTTCCCGCGGCAGATCAAGCAGGAGCCGCTGCCTCCGCCGCCCAAGAAGACCGTGGAAGTTAAAGGAGATCCTTTTCTCAAAGGTATTTATTTAAAAAAATATAAAAATGCCTAATTACTGAAAGAGATCTTATGAAGGCAGTACCAGCAGTGATTTGACTAGACTCAGGCTGAGTTGTATCATCTTACTTTACCGTCAGTCAAAAATCTGTCAAACTCCATATAAAAAGCACCGGTTATCGTTATAGTTACCGTTAAAAGTTAGGTAGTGCAACTCAGAACTAATGTCCCCTGTCCCCTAGATGGGGCAGAGGGCATCCACAACAGTCCTCCATCGCGTTCTGTCTTGAGCTTCGTGTTTGATCTCGCTCCAAGTCTTGCCGATTTCCTTCATTTTTTTTTCTTCTTAATATCTATTGATTGTCCAGTTACCATTTGATTTTCTTAACAGCGAATGTATTGGATTCGGATTGGTATAATTTTTTAATATCAAACTTTTGTACTTACAATGAGAATTGCATACAAAAAGTTTGTTGACTGGTTTCTAAAACCCGTTTTATATTCAGTGACACATAAACACATTAATGCTAGCAGACAAACGCCTCGAATTTATCGGCGGTCAACGGCATATTGATATGGCATATAACTTTTTCGATCACGGCAGATATGTCTTTGAAGGACACCATGAATAAAGAATTAACACGTTGCCAACCAGTGCTGTATTTTTTCTTATTTTTCATTTTTTATCATTTGATAATGATGTGACGGCTAAAAAAGATGACTGAGTTTCTTCCGCCACTTCTTGTCAGTACCTACCAGCAGGGTGGCAAAAAAATCATGATTTTTTTTTATTAATTTGTTTTTTTTTTATTTTTATTAGGTTTTGCGATCATTTCTTTAGTTGTTCAAACATTTTTATTTAAAGTACGGCCAACTAGCAGCGATACGAAAGGTCGATACGACTGTCGAGTTGACAATCAATTCTGCCTCTTCCCATCTTGTGTATGTGTCGTAATGTCTCGTTCTCCCGCCAAAATATGTCAAAGTCAGACGGGTTCGTCAACATTCGGATATTTTTAGTATAATACATAGTTGTTGCAATTCACGAGGGCGAATCTGAATTTAAGTCTTTGTGAAAAAAGGGTAGGCCTGCTGCCATACACCGGGCACATTGAGAGGCAGAAATGTTATTATTATTATCGTTATTTAATTTAAATGTACATTATACAATAATTCAAATTATAACAAAAACAAAATTAAAAAAAAACATCTATTCTTATGGTTTGCCAGATATTTTTTAAAACGATATGGTCTACAAAAATATGTAATCAAACTATTAAAAAGTTATGCAACCCTGCTATTCCAAATGACCATGACATTGGGTTTGTTTACATTTGGTATCGCTTCTCGTTGGCCGTACTTTACAAAAATATGTAATCTAATTATTAAAAAGTTATGCACCCCTGCTATTCCTAATGACCATGACATTGGGTTTGTTTACATTTGGTATCGCTTCTCGTTGGCCGTACTATACGTAGAATTGATGTATAGAGCTGGCAACATCGCCAAAAAATATATGTGGTTATCTAAAAAATCGCAAATATGTTTGTATGGAAAAATGATTTTTTTTAGATTATCCATATAAAACGACAATTTCATACATTAACACCTAATATTAACATTGTTTTCGAACATTACAGTTGATTAATATAAACTCCCAGTCTTTCATTAATTCCATTTTCGATTATTGATTTAAATCAGTGATTTTTATCAAAAAATAATGCAATAAAAATCGTGATTAAAAATCATGATTTAAATCAACTTGATTTAAATCATGCAACCCTGCTACCAGTCAATTTGTTGTCCCGAAGTGGTGATAAGGCAAGCTATATTTCGGACTTGTATAAGTGCCCTGAAATGGGCCTAAATATTATTAATAAAGAATACAGATTTAGCTTACGAATTGTTACGAAAGAAAAATATATTTTTAAAACATTTATTGTAATCTACCGTCACCTTCCTTCTTCCAGGCTTCGCGAACTCCATCAAGCGGCAGCTCACCAACGACATCCTTATGTACCGGACCGCCAGTTCAGTGCTCCACCTTATGCCCATTAGTGGGGTCTACAGCTTTCTACCGAAGTACATGGAGACGCAGTTCCGTCTGTCGACACACGACGCCAACCTTATCTCGGGTGAGGTACTAACCAGTGGGCGTATTAGATGTGCCACTTGAGATGTTGTTGAGACTTTTTTGGGTTTAACGAGGCCCTGCGTAAAATTCCGCGCGGTGTCTTGCTGCTTTTACACTATGCGGAAATTAGCCGAGTCAAGTCAAAAAAACAGAGGAGTGGGGATGAAATTCATTCATAATATAATTCATCCCCACTCCACTGTTTTTTTGACTTGACTTGGCTAATTTCCGCGCAGTGTAAACGCAGCATCTAAATATGTACCGTCTGATTCATCGGTTTTCGGCGATTAGCGTGTTTAGAGTTTATTTTATTTTAGATACCCGATGTTTAGAGTGCATGTAAGTTTGGATATTGAGGGTAATGTTAGATGACTTTCTGACAAATATTATCAAACAAAAGTGGTAGTTAATATGCCTCTAACGCACCATAATAGAGAGGCACTTACAGGGCAGAAATGCACCATCATAGACTGCATCCCACTTAACACCAGGTGCGATTGTGGTCAAATACCTGCCTCGTTATGCATAAAAAATATCGTCTGTGTGCTATTTGTTTTGGTACTATATGCTAAAAGTTATTCTCACATATCCCTAACCTTTCCTAGTTCCCATTCTCAAATCACCAAGCGTTTTTCTTATTCCCAAGTCTCTAAAATACCTAAGATACAAATATTTGTTCTATTGACACGTAAAAACAACATGCAGCGTCCTACATTGTTAATATGAGGCGCATGTTATATGGATTACCCTTACCAGAGTAAATACAAATGAGTAGGTCATCTTCATAGAAACGCACCGAGCGCGGTTTGTATGTAAGCGCACGCCAATACGTATGCGGCGCGCACGCACACAATGACAAAATTCGGGGCAACTCACCGCTAATCAACGCTAAATTTTGACAGTGTGTGCGTGCGCGCCGCATACATATTGGCGCGCTCACATACAAACCGCGCTCGGGCGTTTCTATGAAGATGACCTACTCATTTGTATTTACTCTGCCCTTACGCTCAACATCACAAATTGGCTTAAACTGAATTATTAAACTAAAAAACAATTCCAAAGGAACTTGTGCCTTATATCATGGCCCCAAGGTTGTAATCTCCTCCTTCCAGGCACGGCCGGCATTCTGGTGATGGGAATGGGCATCGTCACGTCGGGGGTAATCATTCTGCGGACGGTGCCTACTGCGCGGACCGTCGCTGCTTGGACCGCCGGCACGGCTGCTATCTACAGTATTGGTGAGTGTTATAACGGGACTATTCCCACCTCTCGTTCCCACTATTGCAACTCCTGTGTAGCCAGGATCTACAGCTTGACCGCCACAAAAACCCAACCAATGAAGGTCAAGTTTGTCCCCCCGGTGAGTGTTATAAAACAGCGTTCGGTTGACACGCATTTATAAAATTATAGATGACTTTTGCCCGCGGCTTCAACCGCGTGGAATTTTGTCTGGCACAGAAAAACTTTATCGCGCGCGTCCCTGTTTGAAAAACCGATAAAAACTATCCTATGTCCTTTCCCGGGACTCAAACTATCTCTATGCCAAATTTCATCAAAATCGGTTCAGTGGTTTAGGCGTGAAAGCGACACAGACAGACAGACAGAGTTACTTTCGCATTTATAATATTAGTATAGATAGATGACTAGCTTTTGCCCGCGGCTTCACCCGCGTGAAATTTAGTTTGTCACAGATCGCCATAAATTATAAGCCTATATGTTAATCTGGGTTATAAACAATAATGCTGTAAAGTTTTAACAAAATCCGTTCAGTAGTTTTTGCGTGAAAGAGTAACAAACATCCAGACATCCATACTTTCGCATTTATAATAGGAACATTTATAATAGCAAGTGGGAGAATATGTTTAAAATTATTTCAAAAACGCCCCAGCTTGTGTGCACTAAGGCAGTGACTGTTAGAGACAGTGTGACATACGGCCACTGAGTTTCCCGAAAAATACTTCTAATGTCTGAATGTCATGATGTCTGGATGTTTGTTACTCTTTCACGCAAAAACTACTGAACGGATCTTGTTGAAACTTCACCGTATTATTGTTTATGACCAGATTAACATATATGCTATAATTTATGACGATATGTGACAAACAATTTTCAATAAATAAATAAGACATGTCTAAAAAGCGCCATCTATCGTCATTGGTTAAAATCTACAGCGCTGGACAAACTAATGTTTTTGACGTTCGTAAATATTCATGCGGGGGAAGCCGTGAAACGCCATCTATCAACATGATATCTAACGGGGGTAAAACGAGGTCCACGCGTACTAATAATACCAGGCCTGTTCATCTCCGTGAGTTTACATCGAAAACAAAACACGCGCGATGGCCCACCTATAGGATACTATTCGACAAAGCCTCACATACGAGCGAACATTGACTCACGCACGCGTATTCTTGTGTATGATGGAAGAAAATAAAGAAAATGATGTACTAAATACTGTGCAGCATGTAACTGCCTAAATAATAATAAAAAAACAGAATGTACTTTTTTAAGTTGCCTCATGACACTGAGAGGTAAATAAGTAGTTAATATTATTCATGATAATTCATGCTAAATCATGTATTTCCTCCGCCATTTTCCGCAGTTTGGCACCTCACGTCACATCATTTTACCGAAGTCAGCCCTATAGCTTCGGCGCAGTGCCGATCACTGACGTTTGTCAACAAAATGGTGCTTGACTCTTGAGACAGGCTAAATTACACCATATTGTTAATGACATTGAGCATACATTTTTTTAAATACCTTCGCGAAGTAAAACTTCTGTACGTAGTACTTATTATTATTCTGTGATAATACTCATAATGGTACCATCAATATTGCAGGCATGGTGATCCTGATGTTCGTGAGCTGTCCGCAAGAGAACTACCGCATGCTGATGCCCGCGGAAGCCAACCTGAGCATGGACTGCAGTGCCCAGTGTTACTGCGACAGGTTCTCCTTCAGCCCTGTTTGTGGGCAGGTATGAACTTGTTTCATTTTCAACCTTATTGCAATAGTAGGAAGGATTAGATATGATGGCTCTAATAATATTATCTCACGTCGTCTCATAAATTTAATGTGTGTTTATTCAAGTGACTAATGCCTGTTTTCACCATCAACACCTAATTTTTAAGTGATCCCTCTGAAAACAAAATTCCTGTTACGTGTCTATGGTAACACGTAACAGGAATTTTGTTTTTAAAGGGATCACTTAAAAACTAGGGACTGATGGTGAAAACGGCTATAAATCTGACAGTTAATTGAATCTAACACCTATTTCATTCAGCCAAATTGTTAATCACCCTTTTTCATTCAAAGACCGGTCAAGGCATTTTAGGAACGCTAACTGCGCCATAAATCCCACAACAAATAAACAATCCACACTACTCTCGCTGAATTACCCACACGTACTTCATAGGCTGATTCAACTATTTGGATATGAATTTGCAAATGTGAATACTCATTTGTCATTTGGGTTCAATAGTTAGTCTAATATGTGTATGAGTACCTGTGGGATATGATGCTCAACCACAATAAGGAAGCTAGATGTTAGTGCTTCCTTCCGAGCGGGTGTTGTGCTCGGGGACCAAGGTCAATTTACACCATCTTGGTTTGTCTATACAGTGTGAGTCACGTTAAAGTGTACATATGAAAATAGATGAAACTAGACCTATTTTTATCGACAAAAAAGAGGTCAAATTTTTTTTAAGATTTTAAAAAAAAAATTATAGAATTTTTTTTCTTCCAATTACTTATTGTAAAGAAAACGTAATAACTTTTAAACTAAGAGGTATATCCTGATAAAATAAAAACAGTAATAATGCTAAATAACAGGCGATACTAAAAAATACATAAAATACACAAAAAAGGCCAACAAATAATAAAAAATGATACTTTTTGAACAAAAACCTGCTTAAAAATTCATGTTTTTTGGTTATTTGATAAATTTCTACAAAAAATGCCCCTATAACTGGTGGTTTTTATTACTTTGTTTTGTATTATTCTCTATCGTATTACCTTCGTAAAACCAAAAATCGCATGTCTCTATCCCTATCACAACGTTTGCAATGATCGTTTTCTGGGTATTTTATGTATTTTTTCAGTATCGCCTGTTATTTAGCATTATTATTGTTTTTATTTTATCAGGATATACCGCTTAGTTTAAAAGTTATTACGTTTTCTTTACAATAAGTAATTGGAAGAAAAAAAATTCTATAAAAAATTAAAAAAAAATCACAAAAAATATTTGACCTCTTTTTTGTCGATAAAAATAGGTCTAGTTTCATCTATTTTCATATGTACACTTTAACGTGACTCACACTGTATGTATATGCTGGGCAGGGTAGAAAACTCCGTCACCGCGATGCAGGATTGTACGCGCGGTGGAGTCTGCCATAGTGAGATCGTAACAGCGCCATCTGTTGGTACAGTTTGTAGTGGCGCATAGTAGATTTTGGTCGCCACATACCTCTTTTTAATTTGTTTGAAGTTCATACCAGCAAAATCTTGCAATAAAGTGCCTTAAAACTTGACTTGAGATATTCCATTCCACAACCTATGTTCCAAGCAATAAAGTCCGTTCTCGCTTGCAGGACGCGCTGACGTACATTTCGCCGTGCCAGGCGGGCTGCACCGGCGCGCGGCAGCTCGGCAACAACACGTGGCTGTACAGCAACTGCTCCTGCGTCATGCCCGCCGCCGAAACGCTGCTCCCGTGAGTAGCCTGCGATATAAATGTTGACTAAAGCCTGGTCCGTGAGCACGTAGAATTTTGTCCAATTACCCCAAGCTACCCATCCTTATCGCTCGCGCGTAATTATGTTTATATCGCGCTCGCACACTCACTGCGGGCGCCTGTCGCACAGTCGCGACAGCAATATAATTACGCGCGAGCGATAAGGATGGGTAGCTTGGGGTCATTGGACAAAATTCTACGTGCTCACGGACCAGGCTTTAAATACATTGAAATGTCAGCCTGAAGGCTAAGTTCAGGTGACGGATAACGCGAGATTATGTAAACGGTCCTGGGTAAATTTAGAACTTAGTTACTGATCTGAACTTCAGATGTCAGAGTCATGTCAGATACGTACTGGTGTGCGGGCTTCTTTACTGTATGTATACCAATTCCAAACTGTCTATTATGAAGCGGAGCGTTGAAAGAATAAATAGTTATTGTATTTGTGCTTACCATATGGCTCCACTGTAGAGTAATCCTGTTAATCTCTAGTGGCTGAGACAGTGGGGCCAACTGAAAAACGTGTTAAACGTATATAACCACTATAAAGTCCTGTTACCGCCAGTGGCGCCAACTAGTGAGCACTAATACGGTAGCCCTCAATTTGACAGGTGTACCAATTTGACCGTAGGTCAGTCGCTCGGCAAGTCAAGTTTCATGGCTTGAAACATGATAAGTTTCAGAAATTGCCCCCTCCTTATTCAAACTCCCTGCATAACAGCATTAAGCCACGTTTTCACTAGGGGACATGTCGCGGAGATAAGTCGTCCGACATTCACGTAGTTTGTCTCTGCAACTTTGTCCCTCGACATATGACCTGTTCACACTAGCCAGTAGTGAACAAGTATGTCGCCCGAGGAGCGACACAAAGCGACACGCGTCCTCACTACTCAAAGGCTGTCGGGCGACAGTCGAGGGATACGAAGATCGCGCCTGTCGACACTCGCAGAGCATCGACAAGCGACAAGTCTCGCGACCCGTAGATGTCGCACACGTGAATTTCGTGTCGGGTGACAGAGTCGCGGAACAAATGTCTCCTAGTGAAAACGCGGCTTTAACAGCTTATAACAGGGCTTTCTACACTTTTTCAACCGACTTCAAAAAAGGAGGAGGTTCTCAATTCGACCCGTATGTTTTTTTTCTATGTTTGTTACGCGATAACTCCGCCAATTATGAACCGATTTGAACAAATCTTTTTTCGGCGTATAGGTAATACCTCAAGGGTGGTCCCATTTAAATTTAATAATAACAACCCCCAAGGGTGGAAAATTAGGGATGAACTTTTTTATACGCAATATCTCCGCCGATTATGAACCAATTTGAACGATTATTTTTTTGTTGAATAGGTATTATCAAAAGGGTGGTTTCATGCGAATTTGAAGAAAAACTGGTCATGGTAGGTACAACTCCTTAATGCTTAGGAGTTGGAGGATAATTCTTTAAATATTATAAGTACAAATAGACCAACAGTTGTATTCTTTCATGTTTTTAAGGTGGGCTGACGGTTTAAGGTCTTTTTAGGTTTCCTATATGGTAACCTTCATTTTGTAGGGATTATTATTTACAGTGACGCTCTTAGGAATCTGCCCATGTGATAGTGCCGTGACGCCCCACGACGCACTGTAAACCCCTAGCCTATAATGGATATGCACTTTTCTAAACATCCACTATTCTTCCAGATTCGAGCGTTTCCATCTGACCAACCTAACAGCAGAGGAAGAGGGTGGCTACGCCATAAGCGGCGAGTGCGGCGGGCGCTGCGACCAGATCTACGTGTTCGTGGCCATTTTTGCTACGATTATGTTCATACACGCCAGCGGAGAGGTGGGAGGCGTGCTGCTCAATATACGCTGCACGCATAAGTTTGGTGAGTCGGAATTAAATAAAATGTTTTCAGTTCAATTTAGGTCATAAAGAGGAAAATGAAAACTGGAGTATTCGCGGTCACTAGTTGGCGCCACTGGATAGTGATTAGATGTTATTGATTGTTGGTTAGCGGCGGCGAGCTTCGTAAATAAGGCCTTTTCAATCTTTCGCTGTATACACTGCAGTAAGGTACTGATTTCACCTAGAGAGGTGTTCGCACGCCGCCTACGCAAGCTTTGATTCTTCCGATACACCTAACGGCAATCTCCAGCCAGATATTTGGCTGCTGAAATTACGGCTATCCTGCTTTAACAAACTTTACGACTAACTTTACGACTAACATATTTCTAAGAACATTGTTACTAACTCTACTAATATAGTCTCTAAGTTCAAATTGTTACTAACCAAACTATGGACTGCTTTTGTCTGAAAATAAATGATTTTTATTTTTATTTATTTATTATTATTTAAGGTTGGCCGAATATTTGGTGTCCGGTTTAACCGCTATTCGTTTCAGCTTTAGTTTAAATATTGAAATTCAACCAATCAAACGACGAGATAGGTTCTTCTCGAAAAAATCAAAATCAAAAATATTTATTCAGTTTAGACCACAAGTAGCACTTATGAACGTGAAAATATTATTATAGAAAATAATAAAAAAAAAAAGAAAAGGTAGCCCTTAAGGGGCACTTTACATGTCTCCTTATCTTTTGGGCCCTACCAGCGCTTCGAGACTAACATATGGCAAGTGCTGAGAAGAAGCTGCTGAGAGATGCTGAGAGAAATGCTTCTAAGTTGTGGTTTCGTACCAAAATTCCAGCTACCCGTCTAACCTGCTATTGTCGCCTCGAATATACAACCATCTACCAAAAGATATAATTGAAACTACATGTATACTTGTATTTAAAGCTAAGCTAAAGGACCTTTTGTTAAAAAAAGGTTACTACTCTGTAAATGAATATCTTTCTGACAATTTATAATGATTTGTGTGACAATTTGAGTACCTAAGTATTTATTAATGAAATGGTTTTTTTTTCTCTCCGACTGACATAATATTGTATTCTGCTGACATTTTCTGTATGACTTAATTAACTTATAATTATTAATAATTGACTTGTATTTGAATTGTATCATTTATTGTGTCATAGATTTTTACTACCTATCAATAATAATTGTATCTTACCATTATTGTATGCCCATGCGGCGGAACACAGCTGATCTATCATACAAATTTAATGACCTGACTTATGTACCTGTGATTTCACAATAAACACAATTTGAATTTGAATTTGAATTTGCGTTGCCCACAGACAAAGCAATGGCGATGGGCGTGATCCAGTTCGCGATCGGCACGTTCGGCAACGTGCCGTGCCCGATCGTGTTCGGCGCCGTCATCGACGCCGCCTGCCGCCTGCGCGACTCCGCCTGCAACATCACCGGCGCCTGCGTCGCTTATGACAGCGATAGCTTCCGACACTTCTACTTAGGTAAGCATCATGCACGCTTAAAACACAATAGACAGTTTGACACCATACCCCAATAATTCGAAACCACAACTGTTTTAAAAAGACTCTTCATTCTGCTCTTAAAAACCTAATTTATTTTAAATTACCTGTAAATTTCGATATTTGTTCGAATTGTAATTGAAAAAAGTGGGTTGACAAAATAGTGACGTCACTTGCTTGTAGTGCCATACAAAATCTATGGGAGAGTTTCGTTTTGACAGTTTAAAAAGTACGTCAATTGACTGTGGTGTCAACATGTCTATTACAATACAACTGGTATAGAGAAAAATATTTTCAATTGCCAATGATGAACCTTACGTACCTATTCAGTAAAGTTCAAAATATAATGGGATCAATTCTACCACCACCATATAAATGCTTAAGAGACTAGTATCAGGTGGACATCCAAAACGTATATTACAGATTTTATAGGGCGCACGAAACAGCGTTCTGGGTGCACCTAAAATATCTATGCTGCATCGTCATTATATGCAGTTTGACTCTTATTACCTTGTCTTAACATGCCGTGTGGGGTTTCCCGCTGAGTAGAATATGTCAATCCCCACCGTTCCAGTAGATATCGTAAGAGGCCTCCTCAACTCGTTACACCAAATCCTATATTTGCCTCTGGTTTAGAGAGGGCCGTTCTCCTGCAGTGGAGACTAAACGACCTGATGATGGTGATGATCCTCTATAGTCTGGTCTGCGAGCACGTAGAATTTTGTCCAATGACCCCAAGCTACCCATCCTTATCGCTCGCGCGTAATTATATTGCTGTCGCGACTGTGCGACGGGCGCCCGCAGTGAGCGTGCGAGCGCGACAGCAACATAATTACACGCGAGCGATAAGGATGGGTAGCTTGGGGTCATTGGACAAAATTCTACGTGCTCACAGACCGGGCTTTAACAAAAGCTTGTTTTCCAGGTCTGTCAGCAGGGTTGATGTTCCTGGCGTTCTTAATGGACCTCATGGTGTACCGGCGCGCCGGCCGCATCGACATGAACCCAGCCGATGCGCCCGCGCCGCCCGCGCTTTTGCCCGCGCCTACTGACACGCAGCTATGACAATACGAGTCCAACTTGTAAACTACCCGCCATCTTAACGGGCCGGGAACTATGGATGAGCTATGCCATGAGCTAGAAAGAACTACTCCACTTCAAAAAATCAACAAAGCAAAACCTCAACTATGTACTTCTGAACTATGAGACAGTTCTCGCTTTTTAAACAGGCTGGGAAGTATGGATGAGCTATGCCATGAGCTAAAAAGAACTACTCCACTTCAAAAAATCAACAAAGCAAAACCTCAACTACTGTATACTATGAGACAGTTGTCGCTTTTTATACAGGCTGGCAAGTATGGATGAGCTATGCCACGAGCTACACCGAAACCTCTGAACTAACGGTCAGTTATCACTACTTAAAACCGAAGAACTACGAATGAGCTGTGCCTCGAGCTAGAACGAGTTATGCTACACTACCACCAAAATCTCACGACTTCTGAACTACTGTCAGCCATCACTACCTAAAACAGAAGAACTATGCCACGAGCTAGAAAGAGCTACGAGCTAGAAGAACTATCGATCAGTTATCACTACTTAAAACAGGAAAACTATGTGTCGAACTAAAAAGAACTTACACCACTACTGTAAGATCAAAATATCAACTACTTCTGAACTACAGTCAGCCAAGACTACTTACAATAGGACAACTATGCCACGAGCTAGAAAGAGCTACGACACTTCTGTAAGACTAAAATCTCAATGGCTTTTAAACTATCGGTCAGTTATCACTACTTAAACGAGGAGAATTATGCCACTATTGTAAGACCAAAATCTCGACGACTTCTGAATTATCGGTCAGCTATCACTACTTAAAACAGGAGAACAATGGATGAGCTATGCCACAAACTAGAATGAGTTATGCAACTCCTATAAGACCAAAATCTCAACGACTTGAAATGTTGGTCAGCTCACTACATCAAACAGGCGGAGAAATATGCCAAGAGCTAAAATGAACTGTCCACTGAAGTTTTAGTAAGGTCGCCAGTTTTTGGACCTTTCACGAATTATGCAACGGAGGTCTGCCATTTCTGTGTGACTTATGATTAACAGAAATTGAACAGGCACATCACATAGAAAGAGCTATGCAACGCCACGCTGCGCTATACTAAGAAATTGGGACAAGGTATGTCACTTAGATCAGAACAACTTATCAAATGTAATGAATGACTGATCAGCCTTATAACTTTTTAACAGAGTCACGTCACCCTGATATAAGACCAAATTCTGAACATTTCAATTCTTGACTAGAGAGCAAACGGAACTATCGTTTAGAACCCAACTTCTATCTAGTAGAGGTCAAATGTTTTGTGTCGAAATGACTCAATATACGTTTTTGGTGTGGCCAAGTTTAATAAATCAATGAAAAACGTTTTATAGGGTTGTGCAATATGGCTCTAGATTACGAATACAATTATTATTGGTCATTGTACACAGTTAGTTTAATCTGGCCGGGCGCCAATCTACGGTAATTTTTTATACTAATTAATATTCGATTTTTGATCTACTAATGCGTAAGTTTCGCGAATTGTTTAGGTACAAATTGTAGCTCGATTAGAAGTTAAAAGTAACTAAAAAAATTAATATAATATTTATAAGGTTTTCTACATACCGTATCAATGTTTAATCATCTTATTTAAAAATTGATTAATGTTGAAACTAATTTAAAATGTAATTTATCTCAAAACATCACACTAAAATAGTAAATACAAATCAATATGAGTGTGCAGCTATATACCAGTATCAGTTTACATCTTTTCTTTTATTGATTTTATATAGATACTGCATTTTTATCGTTTTCACGCATTTTACTAAGCTAGTTATACTTTGACGTATACATGCTCAATATTATCGTTAAACTTTTTACTAGCTAAGCTCAAGTAATGGCAAAAATATTGAATTAAGGTACCGAAATGCGAACTATTTTTTAAAGAACTAATAGCAAAAAAATATTTTAACTAAACTTGGTATTTTTACGTAACATCACACATTGCTCCGTTTAAAATAACATAAATGACTGACCTTTCAACTTGGTGTAAACTATGTTAAAATTGCCATGCATCGATATAGTAATTTTGCTGTTTTGTAGAATCTGGTTTTTTTACTGGTAAATATTTAATCTAATAATTCTCGCACCAGAGCCGAGAATATCTCAGGGAAAACGGGGAAAAATAAAACAAAACATTTTTATCTATTTTATTAAAATGCTGTCAATAATAAATTATTGTTTTTAGCATGGTTTACGCAAAGTTAACTTTTTTAAATATCATAAACTTAATGGCTAGTGATTAGACATTTATTTTAGAGTAGAAAGTTTTTTTTTTACAAATTATTATTAATACTAAATCATGTAAATATATTAGATGAATGAAATGTATAATCATAGCCTAATTAGATGTAAGCTTAATTTTATGAATTGTTTACTTTATAGACGAATTCTTTATAAACAAAAATATTATAATCGTACGATAATCGAAACTCCTTCGAGCTATGGTCGTGGATAAGGCCGTGTAAACCAAACATTTTCAGTTTTTAACGTTTTGAATCAATATTCCCATACAAGATTTTTACTTTCATATATCCCGCCGGAAATAACGTAATTTTATATTAGTACAATAGGCCATAGCTCAGTAGACGAAAAAGTTAAAAGGCTGGGTCGCGTGTAAATGTTTAGTAAATATAGGTATCGATAGCAAATCGACTAAATATAAGTTGACAATGAAATATTATTGTCGATGCAAATTACCTCGAAAAATTTTCATTTTTTGCAACTTCTCTGTGATCAGGGCATAATTTTGTGTAATAAATCATTTTACTATAAAATATTTTACATCAACTTAAGCCACATTATATTTTGCTTAATAAAGACTAGGAATTGAAACTTGCATGTGCAATATATAGATTTGAATATACGTATAAATAATAATTCCAAACCGTAGATTTAAATAGGTAATAATGTAGGTTTTTTGAAGTTTTTAATGAGATATTGCTGCCTAATTTTTATAATGGCATTGTACAATTTCAGTGTTTTTTTATCATGTTGAGCTAATAAACTATGCTGTAATGAATTTGGACCATTATTAGTGGTTTTATTGTAGGTAGAACATTATGCAAACGTTATTAACTTTGGAGGTCAGTATCAGCAAGTTGCCATAACATTAGTTATTTGCTACCATCATAAAGACTTTTGTGAATTTGGGAAAAAATGTGCTCGTCAACTTTAGAAATAAAGCTGTAATACAAAACCGAATATAGGGTTAATACATAAAAAATATAGGTGGTTAAAACGATGTGACAATGAGGAAGACTTTAATGTTACTCATAATTTGTGTTGTCTTTAGACATACAGTTCTGTTATAAAATGAAATACGTATAAAACCAGATATTCCTTAACTATCAAACTCCACTGCCAAGGAATCGTTTGTGTAAAACATACTTGAGCAACAACGAAAACAAGTAATTACTTAGATATTTAATGATATTTCACAATTCCTAGACTCTTAACAGTGCATTATTTCGTGCAATGACTTTTATAATTAAATATGTTTTATTGTTAAAATGAAATTGTATTTGTTGCCCTATTGCACTAACATAGCATAATACTTATTTACATAATATAAGCTTTGACATCAAATTCGAATAAATCAAGACAAATGAGTGTAATTTGTTCTTGAAATTATTATATTATGTGGCATTATATTAATGTATATCTTATAATATTTACGAGTATATAATTATATTGACGTATGCAGTATGAGTATATAATTATATTGTCCTTGTCAGAGTGGTAGGTAAATTTTGTTGATTGTTACTATTATATTAACTAAGCGAATGTATTTAGGGATTAAACAGTAGTTTTTTACCCAAAAACAGAGATGGGTTTTTGATGATTAGTTTTAAAAATAATAGTGAACACAATTTTACTAGTCTACGTTATTAGTTGTAGTGAACCATACCTCTGTTTTTAGAATTAAAACCTACTACCATTAAACAATGGATTTTAATATATTATTTTTAATTCTGATATACACACTTGGTTGAAACTTAGAGTAAATTATTCTGAGTATTCTAGTGATTGTACTGTTTGTTTCTGGTTGTATTTTCACATAAATATACGTTACGATAATTTTATACAAGTACATAAGTTGTTTTCTTGAGCATCGTTAAATTATTTGTATACGTTTGACATTGTTGTATCGTACGTATTATGTTTGTGAATATACACTATTTTCAACTTTCCGAACTATCGCATAGCTATTGAAAAGCACCGCGTATGACTGAAAAGATTGTGAGGAAAGTTGAATATTTGCTTATAAAATGAACGTTTGTGTTATCCATTACTTAGTTATGTAATAATTTAATTGCGAGTACAATCAGCTAGGAAACTGCGAAATGCATCCTGTTTATTTGGTTATTTATGTATTTATCGCATGTATAAATTGTGTCATAATGAAGATTATTGACTTTATTATACGCATGAAAACAGTTTATACCAAAACGCACAAATATGTAGAGAAATTATATAAAACAAGTAATTTAATGTAATTGTAAATTGTAATAGATTAGGTGGACTTAGATAAATAATATCTATAGATGAGGTTAACTAAAATGCTGATCTAAATGTCCGTCTGTATGGTGTTATTACAAAGTACGGAATCAGTAGGTACTATTGATAATTAACTTAGCAATTACATAAGTAAGTACAGTATAGATTGTTATAGTGACGTCGGTCACATATTTTTTAATTATTTGTAAATAAAACGATATTGATGTACTAATTGTGTTTTATTACAAATCCCTTTACGGCCGTTTGAATGTGTTAAAACCAGGGTTCGAAAATATCCGATATTTATTATAAATATCAAAATATCGGATATTTATGATATATATCAGATATATATCAACTTTGATATACAATATGTAACAAAAACACCGTCCGATCCGAAAGGGTCATAAAGTAGCTTTAACAACATTACCAAAACAAGTATCAAAATTACGTAATTAATTACAACAATTTTTTTATCGATTTTAAAGTCAATAAGTTTAGCAATGATTTACCCTACAACGGGGAAATTTTCAAAAAGCGTTAACACTCTGTCGGCGCGCGGCTTTTTTTAAGACGCTGGGGGTCATGACCTTATGACGTCGCTACGCGTGCCGGCGCATCTCTACCCCTCCCGCGTACCCTCTACACTGCAGTGCGGATTGCCATGTAAGCTATTTTATTTTTGTAAATTTTGTATTTATTTTTCATGGGGTATTTTTTTTATAATATTTTATGAAAATTATTACACAAATGGAATCTTAACTCGATACCTATTAACACCTTAATGGATCGGACAGTGTTTCCGTTACATATTGTATATCAATTTTGTATGAAAGCCATACTATTATTTTATTGTATTATTCATGAATACTATTGCATAAGTGTTGCATTAACATGTTTTTAATGTTTTTAAAACTTAAAATCAGACAAATAAAGCAAAAACATAAAATTTCTTTTAAATCCGGCAAAATTTACAAAAAAAATAAAAATCTTATGTCAAAAAGTACAAATACAGTAACAAATTTTAAAAGTTGATATATATCATTAAAACCGGCTTGATATATATCGGATATATATCCGATATATATCTTGATATATATTCCTTGATATATATCCTCGAACCCTGGTTAAAACTAAAAAGGATAATTATGTTACTGGCAGGTAATTAACGACTTGCACAGTAAATTGCATACACCTGACCTGCTGTCCTTAGAATTCCTAATAATAAACTAAATATCCTTGTACGTTTTACAAAACCACGCGCCACCTCAACTATAATATCCAATTTGGTATTACAGAACGAAGCTCAAAATTCGATTCAATTTTAAACATATTGAAACTTTTGTTTGCTTAAATTTTAGTACCATTTTACACCAATCGATCAATAGACAGAATCTTTGAACTGAAAAGATTTCATATAATAGCAGAAAAAGAGTTACAAAACCGTGTAGGGGGTAAATGATTTCTATGTAATTGCCAGTTGTAGGTACATGTACATATTAAAGTCGATTTTGAGTTGAATTGAGCAAAAAACGTAATAAATCAATTCTCTCTATTTCAGTTTTTCTATTATGTACTTTGAAATTGCGCGCAAATAAAATTCAAAAATTCCCCGGTATAGTTTTTACAAGCACACTGCTACTACGTAGGTACTATTGTCGTTTTAAACCGTATCGGGAAATATAAATGTACAGTCATTAGGTATAGCATCGTGAGGTCTTTCCTCAAATGTATAATCGGTCGCAAAAATTGCAACCTAAATCCCGAGATTTATTATTTTAATTCTTTCCAAAAATGGAGCAACAATTTTGCTTACGATAGCTTCTATAACATTTAGGTATAACTATGAGAGCTACGGCACGGTAATTTTTTAACGATTTCACGAAATTATTGATAGTTATGTACTTTTCTTTTCAACATCCTTTTACAAGTAGGTAATATATTATATCGTCTGTGTATTGATATTTAGGTACCTAATTTTATGTTTTTAAGAATTGCTTCCAAATGAAGCAAGACATTGTATTTTTCTGATAAGATTACCTACTGTTCCTACTACGGGTTAGGCTGCACAGTGCACATACCTAACCCAGAGCAGAATCATCAAGATGAAAACTATTTATTATTACTGAAATCTTTCCTCAGGTAGAGTAGATTTTTTATACTAACGGGAAAATACAAATCGACTGAAAGTATTGTCGGGTTTCTCGGATATTGGAATCACGTGATATAACTAAAAAACTGGCCAAGTGCGAGTTCTACTAGCGGTTAGAGAGTTCCTTAAATTTTTATCGCACCACTCATGCATCTTGATAAGATTAAATAAGATGCCCACACTTTATTAGTTATTAATGAAAAATGATGTATTCTGAAAAGATATTCCTTGACTTTTCATGCCATGTGACTGTTCTTATAAAGATTTTGTTTTTCAAAACTTTTGTGGGGCCCTAAAAACTGGATGACTTGGAATTCGCCGCACTGGCGTAAACAATATAGGATGATTTGGCACTTCGGTTGTGCCAGGATGGTATAAAGGCATCGACTGGTGGGCAAATCGTCAGTCCGCTTCCACACCTGTCCAAAACATGTCTAAAGCTGTCTTATACATTTTCTTCGCTGGTTTGATCGCGTCGTGCATCGCTGCACCAGGTATGTAGAGACAGGAGTACTTTTACTAAATCGGCTCTACTGTGATCAACAAGCTAAGTTGGTGATAGTAGAGCTGATTACTTAGTTAAATAAGTTTCTGGTATACCCTGCAACACCATACCTAATATAGGTAATAGGTACTTACATTTTTAAATAATAGCTTTAGACCTAAATCTTTGACTATGACTATTTCGCTTTACCTACCTACTCATGGGAATGAAAATGATGGCTGATGGCCGCTGGGGCAAAACATTTCTCGAGCCGGCGATCACGAGCCGGAAGACGTAGTGTGGGCAAGCCTCCCACTAGGTCTGACTAGGTGGACCGAGTACCTGGATGCGGGCAGCGCAGGACCGGTCCTTATGGAAATCCAAGAGGGAAGCCTTTGTCCAGTTGCGGGCAGTGGATGGGCAGTCTGTCTGTACCTACAATTTGTACAATATCTACACTCTACACACAATGACAAATATCATATAAAGTCAAGTAAGCTTTTTGATAAATTCAAATTACCTCAATGATCCATTTGATTTTGAATGGCAGGTGACCGAGGGCGGCGGCACTATGAAGGCGGACTCGGCGGTTTCGGCGGCGGCGGCGGCGGCGGTTTCGGCGGCTTCGGCGGCCACGGCCAGCACGGCGGGCCTGGCTACGGCGGCCACGGCGGCGTCGGCCAGTCCTTTTCCTCCTCCAAGTCGTCGGCCAGCGCCAGCTCCCAGTCCGGCGGTGGATACCTGGGTTGAAGTTGTAAGATCATTAAAATTTCAGAGTTATTTTAGTTTAAGTATTACCTTTTATAACTGATAAATCAATGGTCCAGTCCACGAGTGCACAAGAAAGGCGACAGATTGTTAGGCTTGCCCCGGACCTGGTGTAATGACCACGACTAATCTGGCAAGAGTGTAGCGACGAAGAAGAAGAAGAACTGATAAGTGAAATAATGACTTATGTATAGGTAAATACTACGAACTACTAGGAACCCTTAATGTAACGTATATTTCCCAAAAAATAAATAAATAAACTTTAAGCTCTGTAGTCGCAACTTACTAAGAGTTTGCGCAGGCTTGGAGCCAAGATTTGTAACGTATCGTTTTTTTTATGCTCTCTCGAGTTAAGTAGTTTGTTAAGACGCGTAAACGTTTCCTACCTGTATTGAATAATAATACTTATTTACTTACTCGTAATAACTATAAGTATTTAATTAAGTACTTTCATTTGTTTCAGAGGTAGCACGCTCCCACCTGCCGCTGGTAACAAACACGAACCACCATTATCGCTAAACAGATTCCGCATTTCCATGAAAAATATGTGATAGTAATAGTTTAAGTTATTTAAGTAAGGTTTTAAGTGCAATTAGTTAATAAATATGTCCACAATCTAATATTGACTTAATTTTATTATAGGAACCAAAAAATGCAGAACTCAACACTGAAATGATGCCCTTGAATTGATCGACAATAGTTGAACGCACTAGCAGGTTCGCAAAAAATGCTGATTGGCAAAAATCACGTCAATAAGTAGGTACCTACACAGAATGAATTGCTGCCTACTTGTTGAATAGACAATGACTTGCTATGTAAAATATGTAAAATAGGTATACTTAAAGGGATTCGCAGGGCTAAGGGAGACTACGGACAGGTGATAGGTACAACAGTGTAAATATACGAGACTGCGATTCATAGTTAGCAAACTACAAGGAATATAAAATACTCGTCTTACATTATGTTGTTTGCTTTGGGTTGACAAATACATATTCGATTTTATATGAATTCGTCACATCGTGCGCGTTAACTAATAAAACGGCATAAATTAATTTACTCACTAAAATATTGGTTGAGGACGTTGAGGTCCGAGTCAAGGCGTGATAAATATAGCCGAAAATAAATTCGTAAAACAAAAACAATTGAAAAATGACAATCGTCGATGAGAAAAATCTGAAAAAGTTCTGAGTGGCCAGTCACGCACCACGCAGTCAAGGAGTCCAGGCGCATGCGACCTCAAAATAGGGAGAAGAACAAAAAGGAAAAAAGGCATTCTTTTTTTAAGTAGATAAAATAAATGCACTTTTTGTTGCTGTGGTGTGGGTGTACCTACATAAGTTTTCAGTAGCGGCCAATGGTATAGTAGAGTGATGAGTAAATAGCTATACGAGTAGTAGAGGTCTTCTTCTTCTTTTCGTATCCGTTGTTGTTTGAAGATTTTTAATTTGTGTGTGATTATGTTCAATCTGACCGGTTTCACGTGTACTTTGGCATAGAATTTTATGAAATTTTCATACTTATTGCAATGTTTAATATTAATATCGTATACGTACCTACTTCATCATCAACAGCCCTTTACAGTCCACTGCTGGACTATGAGCCTCATCCACTAAAGTGGAAGGCGGTTTACGTACTTGTATAAACTTAAATAAAAATAAATAAATAAAAGATACAGGTAGGTTCTCGGTTAATTTAATAATGAGTGTAAAGGACATTGTCAGAAACGGCCTCAGATTCCTGGGCACAGCAGTAAAGTATCAAAATTGATCTCTTACTTTTTGAATACATAAATATTAATTAGATTGTAATGGACACTTGAGGATTAGAAAATGAAATAATAAAAGTCTTTTATATGTATTCCATAATACTATGACGACATCCGGACATTTTAGGGCGTGGCCTGCTCCATATCCTATGAAGTTCCATAATTTGTGTCGATAAAATCTATGTAAAATCGGCACAAGGCAATGCCGTACTTCATTGTTAGGAATCCACGTAATAGTGATGTTGATTGCGGTCATCATAGACAATAAGATACCGATCTTGTAAATAAAATAAATCGTCCAAATTGCTACAGTATGACTAGATTTTAATTAAAAGTTAAAAATATATTGCACGATACTACAAGAAGCTATCTAATGTGTCCAACTGGTCTAAAAGGTCATGAATAAAATAAAAAGAATTGTGATCATAATACTGATATTGACAATGACATAAATATGGGATCATCTTTAATATATCTGTAACAGTTTCAAAATCCGATGAAAAATCCAATGCCGCTTAAAGTGAGAGAAATGTCTAAAGTTCTAATAGAATTGAAAGTTTTATTCACTCAAAATGCTTATAACAATAATTGGTAATACATTTCAAATATTAAGTACCTACCTTTATAATGTATCGATAGAACCAAAATGATGTCCTCTCAGTTTGGAAAGGGAAAACCCAGGATTGGGGGAGCGCTCCAGGCAATTTTCAGAACATTTCATAGGTGGTAGTAAATAATATTTATTTTATTATTAAAATTGAATATTTTGATATTGATAAAATTGAATATACCTTTCGATTCAAATACCGAATATTTTTCAATCGATAAAAATTATCGAGAATTGTTAATAATATTCAATTAAAAGTTGTTCAATCCCTAGTCATGCATAGACTAAGACGGTAACCATGGAGATAGTTAGTTTGGTAAGTCACGTGTTAAATGTCAAGAGTGGAAAGTAAACATAGGATTCATGTTATTTATTTACGTGCAAAATGTAAGTAAGTAAATGATAAAAGTGGAACGCCGAGCTATTTCCAAAACCCGTCCAATATTATAATACAATTTGGCTGCGACAACTACAATACAGAACATCTCCCAAATCGATGTGCATACAATATTATAATACAATACTAGTAAGTAAGAGGTTATGATAACAATATTGCTATCAATAAGTTTATAGAATTGGTCCGCCAGGAATAATTGTTCTTACATAAAGATTTGTGTCATTTAGAACCTAGAAAGTATTTTTTCGGCACTGTTGATCTAACGGCGAACAATGTATGGAGAACGAACATTGTCCTTTTACTCGTACATGACAAATCTTACAGTAGGTAAATCGATCTTATAAATCTATCTATGCTATGCTTTATCTAATTATACAAAAGTCTACAAACTAATTCTTAACTAGCCCCATATTAATTCTCAGTTTCATCCCAACAACTATACATTAACGAGGTTGCTCCTCAGGTTTTGATTGAAGGCGGTGGCGGAGGCGGAGGCGGACGCGAAGGAGCGTCCTCCTCGCACGCGCTCGGAGGACGACCGCCCGTCCTTGTGGTAGGCCAGCTCGCGACTGCCGCTGTCAAGGGAAATCAACTCTTATTATAATGTGGGAAGTGGTGAAAATTGTCTGCCCACTGCAGTCCACTAGTGGTCACTGTCACTAGTTCTCGCTTATCGTAAAAAGTTTTGTCCAATGACCCCAAGCTACTACGTGCTCACGGACCAGGCTTTAGAAGTGGTATCAAACTAGTCTTGCTATTGAAACTTTGTTTACTGAAAGGTATTTTACAGTAAAAACGGAGCTATGTAACAGTGAAACTTAGAGTTTGTCTCTACATAAAATATTATATTATTGTTCTGAAATTAGATATGTTTTATGATGTTGATTTTTTGAAATTCGAGAATAGGTAGTCGTAAAGGGACAGTCTAGGGACAGATACCGTTGTGCGGCAAATCGAAATACTAATTGGCTGTGCTGCAAATGTACTCTACCTTTCATAAGATAAGTGTAAAAGCAGCCTGATCACCTGTTCCCATAGCCTCTCCCGCTGTAGCCGCTGCCGTTGCAACCACTACTGTCCTTTTGGCTGACGCTGGTATGTGCCGTAGCCGCTGTTGTTATAGCCACGTCTTATGTGAATGCCTTGAGATAGGAGCTGTTTAGATGTGCCTCATCACCTGTTCCCATAGCCTCTCCCGCTATTGCCGCTGCCATTGCAGCTACTGCTGCCCTCCTGGCTGACGCTGGCGTCGCCCTCATCGCTCCCGCGCCCGTACCCGCCTGAGCCGTAGCCGCTGTTGTTGTAGCCGCGTCTTACGCGAATGCCTTGAGATAGGGGAAATAGTATTAAATAAATAAGTCGAAGAAAATGAAATGGAACAGGTAAATTTAACTAAAATGACAATTCACACTCCTTATTTCGTCTACTGCTGGATATAGGCCTGCCCCTAAGCACCTTCTGATCTTATTCTCCAGCCAGCCTCTTTCAACCATTGTCTGCCATCTTGCATCCATCCCGCTGGAGGGTGTCATGGTCTTTCCAAGTAAAAGGTGGATAACTTACCGCGTGCAGATAATCCAATCGCCATCACAGCTAAAACCACTACCAAAACTGCTCGTGTCATGTTGCCCAAATATAATATGCCTTTATTCGCGCATCCAGCATATATATACAGGTGATAATCGGTGACCGGTCACGCTGCGTCAAGTCGTCGGATGCGACACGGTCACACGTCAGTCTCGGTGACAGGGGAACAAAGGGAGACGGCCTAATTCGGGGTGATCAGATTCGGAGACTGCTGTCCTTGACTTTGGTAAGGTCAAACGATTGGCCTGACAAGACGTAATTTTGGTTTGTGAGCGCTGGACAGCTACCAGGGATCTTAAGGTGTCGGCACTCTAGCGTAACGTTACATGACATGAGCAATTTAGTTGTTTTATTCAGGTGCCTCTTTAATGATGACGTTACGAAATTATAGGGCAATTTGGAAAACGTGGATTTTCCTCATTACCACCAAAGTTTTCCCTTCATGAATTACAAAATTATGTATTTAAGCTACAAAAGCTTTGGTGAATTGCTTTTGCTGTGGTTCTAATATGGAGTTAATTATTTTTCTTCCAAATTCAAAATTTTCCGTTATTGTGTCGTCATGCCTTTGCCTCATTTCAAGCGAAATTGAAAAAAAATCATATGGTGACGTTTGTCTTTAAAATTTTGACGTTCTAAATTCAAATTTGTTGCCCTGCATTAATAACTTATAAGTTCATAACCTTAAAATATTGGGTTATCTGCTGTGATGCTTCAAGTTTAGAATAACAAACACACTAGAGTGCATTAGGCCATTGCGCATTGGCGAATATGAGGTGTAAAAAATATTTTTGCCATACAATACCACATCGCCATAAACAGCGTGACGAACCGAGTTCAATGGGCTGTATGCCTGTATGGTTTGACGCCATAATATTATGACAGTGTTGACGTAACGATTATAATTTTGAGGGTAATTGTAAAAATACCTATCGCGATCCACTCGGAAAAAGAGGGTAGTTCGGCGGTTCGCACATTCCAACTGTCAAACAGTGCACAATTTGCATCAGTTCGGTTCAGGACGTCTTGCGAATCGCTGCTACTCGTATTAGCATTGTCCTGTTATTACTTATTTCGCGTTCGGTATTGTTTTTAAACAAGTTAGTGTATTGTGCATTTGTGTGTGTCAATCATTTTTCAAGATATTTTTTGTGTTCTTGGAATGGGTGACTACGTCTCTGGGAATTACACGGACTTTCAGCAATAGTTCCTTCGGACTTTATCAAGGTAAGCGATCATTTCTCAGTTTATTTATATTAATTGCTAGCTATAGTCTGGTCTGCGAGCATGTAGAATTTTGTCCAATGACCCCAAGCCACCCATCCTTATCGCTCGCGCGTAATTATATTGCTGTCGCGACTGTGCGACGGGCGCCCGCCGCCCGCAGTGAGTGAGCGAGCACAGACCGAGCTTTAGAACTAACTGCTGGCTGAAAAAGCTAATTCACATCATATTCCTCTTGAAAGACACTGCTCAGAGGCTTAAAATGAATTTGTTTCAAAATCCCATTATGAAAACTGTGTTTATCTGTATACTAGCTTTCCGCCCGCGGCTTCGCGCGCGTGGACCCCTGAACCCTATGTTTTTCCAAAATAGATATAGAGCCTATTCATTACAACCAAACAAACAAACAAACAAAGTTTTCCTCTTTATAATATTAGTGTAGAAATAGGTATTCGCCTCTATTCCCCTTTGAAAAACATACATAATTAAGTTGGTATAGTTATCTTCAAATTATTTTAGACTTTGTGTCTAATTGAAATCATGACTTCATGAGCAGGTTTTACGTAGTTTTTACAGATGTTTTTTTCCTTGTTTTATATATATTTTAAAACCTAGTAACGTGTATTTGGCAGATAGCATATAGTTTTTGAAAAAGCATGTTGCAGTACCTACCTTACTTGCAATATTTATAACATTGCATCATAGCCAAAATTCCGTCGATTTAATAGCCCCTAAAGAATTTAAAAAAAAATATTAGTATTGTTACTTTCAGCACTGTAATTAACCGATTCGCTGACATCGATACCGCTGTCCTCACTGCCACTGATGACACTCTCAGAACTGTTACTGTTCTCAGAGCTGTTATTGACAGTTTGGCCACGACGACGCATTCGTCTAGCGATACGCCTGGCAAGACGTTCTGCGAGACGCTCTTCTCTTCTAGCCTGTTTCGCTTCCCTCCTTGCCTGTCGTGCTTCTGCTTTCTCTTTTTCTCTTTGCTCTTTTGCTTCCTTTCTGGCTTCCCGCTCTTCTTGTTGAGCTATAAGCCCTGGTGTGTAATAAAATCTAAATTATATCTTTATCTTACGGTTACTTTATATGTATTATAATTTTTCATTTATATCATTACTCACGTTGTATTTTTCTTTCAAGAAGGGTGCTTGTTGTAGTGGTACTCTCGTAATCACTGTCATCATCACCTATAGATGATAATATATTACCAATTGAAAAGATGATTTCTATAATTTCACACAGAAAAGAAAAATTATCGATAGAAACTTTAAGATATCTTGGCAATTGCATGAATAAGCACTGACTCCTAATAGTACGGGAGTGTGCTCACTTTCTTTGCCGTTCCTGTCAGACCAATATCATTGCAATTTCAATCGTACCTACGAGTATATAACATTAAATTACCATTTGTCATTTATGTCCCTTGTTATGTCAGTCCCTATACACATGGATAAGTATTGGCGACAATCACTATTGTCGCCAATACTTATCCATGTGTATAGGGACTGACCGAATCGGCAGTCCGTCATCGTTACACTTAACGATGACGGACTGCCGATTCGGTGCGTTAGTTCGATCCTCGTCAATTTGTGTACTATTGTGGTGAACTGATTGACAAGTGCATGATGTTAAATAGTGCACTGTAAAACTTCTACTTATAGTCCAGTCAATAAAGCATTATAGATGGAAATCCATGGAACACAATTTTTGACTTCGGGACTTTATTTAGACTAGTTAGGAGGTGAACGTAGCAAAAGTCCCCGCCCTTAGCCCTTGAGCCGGCGGGGAGAGGGGGGTTTAAAGGTACCACTTTTCGGTTTTTCGCTTAATCCTCGGAAACTATGCGTCCTAGTGACATGACTACTATGAACCAAAAAAAGCTTATTCAATTTGCTACAGGTGAGATAGTCAAGTTTTTCTATATCTTGTATAGTTTTTGCGGCATCTGATCTAGAAGGTCTGTAATATTGGAAATTTTATTTTTGTCTTACATGTTTCCATCAGGAGAAAATCGACTAAATTAACATTGAGCTAATATTCTAGACATACGGGAGCATGTTAAGCCTAGTTCCAGGGAGAAGACTGCACCGTGCGTATATTTAAACGAACCAATTGGAGCCACTTTTGACTCCTCATCACTCAAAAAGTACTGTGCATTAACACTTCAAATTTGGCTCATGTGTTGAGACTTGCAAGATAAACATCAGCTTCAAATTTCATAAATATACCTCAAACGGTTCTTTAGGTATTGACGTCTAAAAATCTACATGGCTGACCTATAAGACCAAATTCTAACCACTTCCAGATGACCTTGAAGGTTTAAATTTGGCATCCAAATAGGTAGTTGTGTAAATACAAAGGAACAAATAAAAAACCAGTAAATTTTAACATTTCACAGGTGATAGTTAGATTTTAGTGTCCTAAATGTCGATTTTTGAACGCCAATACCTAAATAACCGTTTGAGGTATATTTATGAAATTTAAAGCTGATGTTTATCTTGCAAGTCTCAACACATGAGCCTAATTTGAAGTGTTAATGCACAGTGCTTTTTGAGTGATGAGGAGTCAAAAGTGACTCCAATTAGTTCGTCTAAATATACGCACGATGCAGTCCCCTCCCTGAAACTAGGCTTAACATGCTCCCGCATGTCTATAATGTTTGCTTAATGTTGATTTAGTCGATTTTCTCCTGATGGGAACATGTAAGACAAAATTAAAATTTACAATATTACAGACCTTCTAGAGCAGATGCCGCGAAAACTATACAAGATAATAGAAAAACTTGACTGTCTCACCTGTAGCAAATTGAATAAGCTTTTTTTGGTTCATAGTAGCCATGTCACTAGGACGCATAGTTTTCGAGGATTAAGCGAAAAACCGAAAAGTGGTACCTTTAAACCCCCCTCTCCCCGCCGGCTCAAGGGCTAAGGGCGGGGACTTTTGCTATGTTCACCACCTAACTAGTCTAAATAAAGTCCCGAGGTCAGAAATTGTGTTCCAGGGATTTCTCTCTACATCGTCGTTAAAGCATTCATTGACTGGACTATTAGCGCTTAGCTGTTACGAAGCATCAAGCAAATCTAGTGATACCTATATTAATCATAGCGTGAGACCAATCTACATATAAGTTTTAGAAAATAATTAGTACTTACCTAACTACCAGTTAATTTTATTGTTAGGAAAACAAACAGCATAATAATAACTGAAAGAATTTCGTCTAACCCGTAGTTACTCGTAGATAACGAGTGAAACTGACAATTTTCAAAGATAGAGCTACCTTAGATGGTTAAAATAACTTTTAAACTTATTACTGGATACTTTTCACAACAATAAAATCTGATCTATTTAGTTTACTCGTTTAAAGATGGAAATATTCAGAAACTTGGGCCGTTTCTTCCGCCAATTCTCAACACCAGCCAATATGCTGTCCCAAGTAGTGGTAGGTCATGCTATATTGTTTACATTCTTATAATCCTTGAAAGAGGGCTCCATAAATATAAAATTAAATCCAGTTTGTCTGGGATTTGAACCCAGGACATTAAATCGTGAACATAATTTTAGTTCATCTACTACGTGAATGGGGATTCCCTTAGGTATTTGTTAAAAAAATGAAAACGATAGTGTAATATACACATAATTTTATTATTATAAATATCATAATGTTGAATCAAATGTAGCAACGTGGTTATTCATCACTGTAGTCAGAGCTGTCACTGGACTCGTCGCTTACGTCACGCTTGCCTCGGTTTATGATACCTGATGGAAAAGGGTTCAAGAGTCAAACTTGTTGGTAAACATTTTCAGTAGATACTTGATTTTTTAAAGTGTTGAAAACATCCAGAAAATTCACGATTGTCGCTTTTTATTTGAATTGAGTAATAATTTATCTAACTACTTAAATTATGAAAATAGAGTCATTTTATTACTTACTTCCTAATATTGTGCTGTTGCTAGAAGATGAACTGCTGCTGCTTCCGAAAATTAGGGATAGAATACCTGGCAAACCAGAAATAAAAAATGTATGAGGCAATGTAGCTTATTTTGGGATAAAATGCTTAAGAATCCAATTTTTCCGACAATACTAATAGTATGAGTGAAATTGCAGCTAGCAGGTAAAGTAATATAATATTTTCAGACTTACGTTTTACTATTCTTTGGATTAGAGAATCACTAGAACTTCCTCCCAATAGGGATGTAACACCTGATGAAAAAAACTCGATTAATTTTTGTATTTTTCGATCATAAAACTTAAAATACGGCGGCACCCGTGAGCAAAGTCGCGTTCAAAACTTGTTATAATAATTTAATATTAATAGATATAATTATATTGTAGTGACGATAATAATATACATACGTTCAGTTATTCTTTTAACTAAAGTTTCATTAGATGTTTTTCCTTCCAGTCGGGATATAATCGTTGATAAAATTGTATCGGAGCCAGTAGAATTTCCGTCCAATGCAGAAATAATACCTGAGAAATAGATTAGTATGCATAGTATTAATGTTATTGCTATTTTTTAAAGTGGCGGGAACGGTCTCAATCCTGTAAAAAAAATAATTATTACAAATGTTCCCTTTCTTATTTTCAGAGTTTTATAAAGGGCAAAGTTATTTTCTAAAATGGTAGCTTATGGTAGGAATTGCCGACAGGGATCGAACTTATCTAATCGGCAGTCCGACGCCGACACAGTTGGGCTATAGTCGCCTAGTTAGTTTTTTCACCAATGAATTTAATTGCTGAAAAGAAATGCTTCTTTTTAGGAATTAGATCTCGCAGTTGGCATAAAATGCCAGCTTTTTGTGTGACTTTACTTTGTATCTTTTATTATAATCTTTAATTTCTATAGGAAAGTAAACAATCAAAACGATTATTTACTTTCCTGTAGAAATCTCCTACGAGTCCCTTTATTTTGCACTTACGTCCTAGAACTGTTGAAGAGTCTGAATCATCAGAGCTTCCTCCCAATCCAGATAGAATACCTGAAAGAAAGAAATACTGATGTAAACTGGTTGAAAAATGGTTAAAATTAGTGAAGAAGGGGCTAATCTCATTTGTGAAGAAGGGGCTAATCTGATTAGTGAAGGAGAGGCTAATCTTTATACATACATCTAACGACTTACTTTAATGTAAAATTAAAAAATAGTAAGTTATTACTTACTTTCAAGTATTGATGAGCTTGAAGAATCGTCGTCTGATTCATCAGAGCTTCCTCCCAAACCAGATATAATACCTGATAAGAAATTATATTGACCTAGACTAAGAACTGTTAAATCTAGTGAAAAGGGATTTAATTGCGTTGGACAAATTCTTCTAAAGGCTTAGTTTGATGTAAAAATCAATTAGTTAACTAACTATACGAGTACTTACTTCCGATGATTGATGAGCTTGAATTTGAACCGTTAGAGCTCCCTCCTAATCCAGATATTATACCTGGGAGGGAAATTTGTAATATACCTTTATTATTCAAGAACTCGTTTAAATGCTTAGTTTTATGTTAAAATTAGTTACACTTAGGTACTTCCGATTAAGTACTGAGAGCTTGAAAAACTATCGTCTGAGTTATTATAGCTCAAAATTCAAAAACAGATTATACTTACTTCCAATTATTGATGAGCTTGAAGAATCGTCGTCTGATTCATCAGAACTTCCTCCCAATCCAGATATTATACCTGATAAGAAATTAAATTTACCTAGACTATTACTAAGAACAGTTTACCTAGTGAAGAGGGATTGCTTTGGACAAACTTTTCTAAAGGCTTAATTTGATGTATAAATCAATTAGTTAACTAAGTACTTACTTCCAATGATTGATGAGTTTGAATTTGAATCGTTAGAGCTCCCTCCCAATCCAGATATTATACCTGGGAGAGAAATGTGTAAAATCCTTAACTATCCAAGAACTCGTTAAATGCTTAGTATTATGTAGAATTCAAATTAGTTATACTTACTTCCAATTACTGATGAGCTTGAAGAATCATCGTCTGATTCATCAGAACTTCCTCCCAATCCAGATATAATACCTGATAAGAAATAATTGACCTAGACTAAGAACAGTTAAATCTAGTGAAGAGGGATTTAATTTCGTTTGAAAAATCCCTTAGTTTGATGTAAAAATCAATCATACTTACTTCCGATGATTGATGAGTTTGAATTTGAATCGTTAGAGCTCCCTCCCAATCCAGATATTATACCTGGGAGATAAATGTGTAAAATCCTTAATTATCCAAGAACTCGTTAAATGCTTAGTATTATGTATTATCTTCTATACTTATAATAAATCTGTAGAGAGGTCAATTCTGTACATGAAATATATTTTCAAAATAACTATCAGGGGGTGATTAGTGATCGATACTGATGCCAAAAATGCAATCAGTAAAATGTTTGTCTGTCTGTCTGTCTGTCTGTCTGTCTGTCTGTCTGTATGTTCCTTATAGAAACAAAAACTACTCGACGGATTTTAACGAAACTTGGTACAATTATTCTTCATACTCCTGGGCAGGTTATAGGATACTTAGGAATTCCCACGGGAACGGGCATTAGCGGGAAAATCCTTTTGTATGAAAAATCTAAACCGCTTAAGTTAGACGCTTGAAATTTGGCATGTAGGTACCTTAGTAAACTTAGAGCTTAGTTACAACAAGGAATTCCCGAAATTCTCACGGAAACGGGAATAAGACGGAAAATCTTTTTGTATGAAAAATCTAAACCGCTTAAGTTAGACGCTTGAAATTTAGCATGCAGGTACCTTAGTAAACTTAAAGCTTAGTTATTACAGGATATTGCAAAATTCCTACGGGAACGGGATTTAGCGGGAAAAAACATTTGTATGATAAAATCTAAGCCACGAGATAGACGCTTGAAATTTGGCATTCAGGTACCTTAGTAAATTTAAAGCTTATTTACAACAGGATATTGCAAAATTCTCACGGGAACGGGAGTTAGCGGGAAAAAACATTTCTATGAAAAAATCTAAACCGCGTAAGATAGATGAAGGGGGTAAAACGGGATCCACGCGTACGAAGTCGCGGGCGGCCGCTAGTGTAGAATTAAAATTAGTTACACTTACTTCCAATTACTGATGAGTCGTTAGAGCTCCCTCCCAATCCAGATATTATACCTGAGAGGGAAATGTATCTCATACTTTTACTATTCAAGAACTCGTTAAATGCTAAGTTTTATGTAGAATTCAAATTAGTTAAACTTACTTCCAATTACTGATGAGTCGTTAGAGCTACCTCCCAATCCAGATATTATACCTGGGAGGGAAGTGTGAACATACCTTTACCATTAAAGAACTCGTTTAAAATGCTTAGTTTTATGAAGAATTCAAAGTTATACTTACTTCCAATTACTGATGAGCTTGAAGAATCGTCGTCTGATTCATCAGAACTTCCTCCCAATCCAGATATTATACCTGATAAAAGTAAATGGATGTAACTACTTGAAAGATTGTGAAGTCAATTATTCGTATGTCTGTTTAATTAAATCATAGCTCTACTTTTCACTAACTCCAAATGTTTACTTTGATATCGAATTAATTATTAAATTATGCTTATTTCAAATTATTCATGAGCTTGAAAAATCATCGTCTGAGCCACTAGAAATTCCTCCCAACCCGGATATAACATCTGTTACTAAGGAATAGTATAGTAAGACTAAACTAGAGAAGACGAATTTAACATACCTTTCCATGTCAGGAATTTTACGACTGTTTACTTTACTGTGAAAGTTAGTAAACGTAGAAGTCATAGCATAGTTATAATATTACTTACTTCCAAGTATTGATGATTTTGAAGATGATTCGGTGGTTGATGAGCTAGAGCTTCCTCCCAATCCAGACAAAATACCTGTTAATAAGATTGTGACTTAGACTACTTGTAGGAAAAAATAATGAAGAGGGAGTTAATCATAATGGCAAGGTATATTTTAGTATTTCTTTCTTCTTTGTCCTAGCCATTTCCCATTATTTGGGGTTGGCTTTGAGAACAGTCTGTCCTGGGTTGTCGAAATATTTGTTTGGGCAAGTTCTAAGTCCTTGGCTACCGTGGACCACCAGGTGGCCAGTGTCCTGCTATTAATTGTAGTATATTATCTTGAAATGAATTAATCTCCAGATCCATATCTCACATCACCCTAACATGGACGTGGCCAGCTCAAATGTGGCATGATATTATTTTGAAAGTTCGATTTCTGTTCCCATAGTAATTGAACTAACTATGTGAGGATCATAATGTTTTAAATATATTTAATTTTGAACGTACCTCCAATGGTAATCGCCCCTGAAACAAATAAAGAAGTTTAATCTTAAACTAATCCAAAGTCAATGCTAGTATCGCTGTAACACTGAGTCGGCAGTCCGATAAAAGTGTCAAACTGATTAGAGAGTCATTAGTTTGGTCCCCATGGATCGCTGGACTGTTGCTATTCCTGTGACTAAACTAAACATTTCTTTTTTTTTTTGAAGCGGAGGAAATTCTCTGTGCACCGTCCCACTGCCGGGGGACAGGGTGGTGTGTGGGACTCTCGGCGCACTGAAAATGGCGTTGTTCCGTCCTGAAAACCCCGGGGTATACCATACAGTCGCATGAGGCCACGATAACAACTTATTTTTATTGTCTAGATTCGCGGGTACTTGAAGACGGGAACACAAGTAATGTAACTTACCATTCGTTGACTGTACGTTAGATGTCACCAGGACCAACGCGGTCAAAAAGAGTAAAGATAGACTGTTCATTGTTGAAGATTTCACAGGTACAGTGAGTATCGCTATTCGAGAGCTAGTTTATATAACGTAGTTTAATCACTTGCTGAAAATGTAAAGATAATAAGAAAGTCATTAAACCGTTTAATTTGTAGTAATGTATTTGTTCTTAATTATAAATCTTTTGAAGGTAATTGAAGGTCGCTGAATATTAAGCGAATTGACTAGAAAAAATTAGAGATAGTACTAGACTTAATTAAATTAGTATTTATTTTCTTAACAGTATTAGCTAGGTAATTCCCTTCTTTTTAGATGCAATATCCTAATCTAAAGTTCAAGAAAATACCTACTTATTTTATTATTTTCTAATAGTCTTGGACTAACTTTGCATTCAATATAGAGGCGATGAAGTAGGACCTCTATTCCTTGGTGTCAAAGAAACAGAAGTTCCCACCACAAGAAGAAACTAAACTTTTGAGTGCAGGGAATCTAGGGAGAGCGGGATTATCAAATAGTGTATACTTTTGGACTAAAGCATAATGTAAATATTAACTTGGTATAAGATTTAAACTTTTGCGTCCCATTTCAAATAAAATAGAGGCACGGGTCTCAATGCGTTTCTCTATTTTATTAACTTGGTAGTCTTAACTTCAATTCACGTGTACGGTATGGTGACAAAAAAAGTCTGAAAAATAAACATCTACAACTTATGTTTAAGAGCCATTTTACATTTTCGTGCGAATTTCTAAGATTTTGGAAGCATGAATTACTATCTTAAGCAACACCCAGAGATTATTTAATAACTGCGAAAGATAGGTCAATCCTTGATGTTGACCATTAATGAAACGGATTTACTAAAACTCTTTTGCTTAATTCACAGTGCCCCATCTCCCACAACCATTTTACGAAAAAATTGCCGCAGACTCATTTTCAAAGTCCTGTATCTATTATTTATGCTCATATAATAAGCTTAAAAATATAAAGTAATCATCGGACATATATTCTTGTAGTTCATTAATGAAATAGATTCTTGAATTTCATTACCATTATTGAGTAAAATCTAAAAATAATTTGGCAAATTTGAAGATTAACGTCACATTTTGATCGTGGTTTTTGGTTTAAAAACACAGCAATAACTGCAATAAAAGTATCCCAAAATAAAGAATATTCATTGTAGAATTGATTTCTACAGTTATTGTTTAAATATTAGTAACCACTTTGTCAAAATATTGATGTGAATATCAGTATAAATTACAATGCGCAAGCCGACATCGATTAGTATGGCGCGAGCGCCCGTCAAGGCAGGACGTGTGTCATTTTTCCCGCCGTGACGTTTACGTGCGTTCGTGTCGTGAAGCGGTGATTTGTACGGCGACCAAATACATTTGATACTATGCCGAGAGGCTGTTTCGAGTCGGCCGGCCGAGCAGAAATTGAAATGATGAATTTTAATTTCTTTGACGGATCTGGGTGTAACTATGTATAATATGTAGGTACCATGTATTTAATTTAATAAATAAATTATAAAAAAGTATATCCATTATGATAGCACCCTTAACACAAGCATATTGGTTGCCTACTTTTGGACTAGATGGCGCTGTGAAATTGTCCAAAGATTTGTTTATTTATTTATCCGCTTTGAGTTTTGTTTCGTGAAGAAGAAAAAGAAGCGTTTTGTTCTGTTGTTAAATCTATACTAATAAAAGAGGAAAGATTTAATTGTTTGTTTGTTTGTTTGGAGGCAATAGGCTCCGAAAAAAATTTCTTTCACGATTTAGAATCCTAATTTTTTTCTATGTTGGCTATAAAATATTTTCAAAAACTTTAGTCCAAAATCTTTGATAAAATTCGACGTTTAATAAATAAATTAGATAACATATTAATACTTTTTTTTTCAGTACGATTTTAGTACTTGTTTTTCAGAAATTCTACGATTTAACTAAACTTCTAAAGTGTTTATATTTTATGCATAATTTATTAACTTCTAAAATATACATATATCCTATTGATAGATGACGTGCTTCGTATTTTATTAAAATTATTACCTGACTAGGTTAAAAAGGTGTGGAATGTTATTTTGGAGATAACTTGGTTCCATAGAAATATAGAGAGATGCTAAGTAATGCGCTGAGTTCGAAACTCAGTGTCGTATTAGAAATTCACACACACAAAGAAATCAAATTATGTGCTCATTATCCATTGCGGTATCAGTATTCAACGTTCGAATAATCTTTAGTACTATGCAAGCAATATAAACTGTTTACATAATGACGTCGCTACTGTCATCATTGCTTTCACAAGCAATATGTTCCAATTTGTCCCTTGTCACATTTCCCTTTAGTTTCTGTGATCTGTGCTTGTTTCTAAGTTGATATCAATGAAATATTCCTTAGTACTTTTGATTTAAATTATTTTTTTTATTTTGACACGTGTTTGAAAAATCAAGGTCAGATTACAATAAAATAACAAGTGAAAACGTAACATTGCATTGCAACTCGCAATTTCGCAATATTGATGAGGAGATTCCATTGGAAAGTCTGTATTCATTCCTAGGATTCCCCTAACACCATCAAATTCAAGAGAATTCAAGAGAGTGCAGTTTCCCATCTCATGCTTAGGGACCACGGTTTAAGAGCAAAATGACGATTTGTAAGAACTATTTATTAGTCCAAACAAATAAAGAAATTTTGACTTTGACTTTGACTTTGACTAAAATAGTGTGGTTGCATAGAGCCTGCAACCGGCTACCGCGTGCGCAGCTGCTCATTCTAATTTTCGATACAAAAGCAAGTGTTGGCGCCCTCACGAGTTTTAGCGGAGTTCCATATGGTAGCGGGAGTAGACTTAATGGAAATCTATGCTTCTCCGACGACCAGTTGTATGTGGCATACTCCAGAGTATGCGCACACAATAGCCTGGTGATTTTAGCACCTGAAGGAAAAACAAAAAAACATTGTTTACAAAGAAATCTGCGGCAGGTGTAGTGTAATTTTGTTTTAGAAAGATCTCATAATTTTGTAAGTATTCAAATATTTAAACATAATAATTTGTAGATATATCAAAAAATATAATCATTTAACAAAATTAATTTTCTTAGAATATTTTAATTCTATTAGAACCATTTTCCACTTCATCGCAGAATAAGTCGCGGGCAAAAAGCTAGCATGAAATATGTAGTATTGCCCGCGGCTTCACCCGCTTGAAATTTAGTTTGTCACAGATCGTCATAAATTATAGCCTATACATACATTGTTATTCTGGTCGACGCCAGGGATGGATGAGCGTCGCTGTCGCTGGCGACAGGGTCTTCTGGTTAAGGGTTCATGACGTAGTTCTCAGGCAAAATGAAATCCAATCATAGAAATTAATAAACTTAGTGTATTCACGAGAATAATTACACACAGCACTAGAGTCGTATCGGAACTGAGTGAACCAACGGTCTTGCGATAGGAACGTCCGACCCGAGTGATAGTTGAACACAGACTGCCTAGTACTGCTGTACTGTACTGTAAAGCTTCATCAAAATTTGTTCAGTAGTTTTTGCGTGAAAGAGTAACAAACATCGAAACATCCATACAAACTTTCGTATTTATAATATTAGTAAGACTAGTAAGAAGAAAGATAGTAAGATGAATAATAATTATTTTAGTTATTTGTTAAATAAAAATAATATTTATTTATTTATTTATTTCTTAGCTCTGTCTGATAATGGATCTGGAGGAGTTTCAATGGCCACCTCCATTGCAACTCCATAACAAAACAATAGAACCCTATGGAGTTTGGGCTTGTGTAATTCGCCTTGACGAATACTTCGTCTAGGTAAATGATATCCAGGGTCCGATGATGGAGCTGCAAGGGGGCAGATTTTTTTTCACTATGTGACTGTCTTTATTTTGTACTTAATATAATATATTTTACATATTATACCTATTCGTGTTTCATTATTAATCGAAATAAGTATAAAAATCTTTAAAAGACTAAATAAACTCTATTAAAATTTTAAATTAATTTATCATGTTTTAATACCTTATTCTACCTTAAAATTAATAACTTATATCAAGTCTTAATACGGTCACGGCTCAAGATTTTTTTGTCCATTTCGGCGTTCTTTTTACTCTTTTGTCGTTGCGTTGACAGTTTGTAGCTAAATTCGCGCGGAATATTTTTGTGAAATGGCTCTTAATTAATCATACAATGTTGTCTAATTAATTCTCAGTACAACTACGGTATAGTAGGTATCGGTACTTTTTTACAAATTCTTTCAGGTATTTTTTTCAAATTCAAATTTTGTACCTAGGTAGTTAACATTTTGGGCGCAAAAGACAAAATACTTTTAGGATTATGGATTTAGGACCTCAGGATGTTAGGCTACGACGGATTTGAAGATTATAGTTGATAGTTCTACTCGTGACCCCCCCCGTGACATGGCTAGAGATGGGTTTCCACCCGGGTAAAAACCCACATGAGGGTAAAAACCCAATAAAAACCCGTTTCATTCCACCCGTGGGTGTTTACACCGGGTGAAAACAAATAATTTTATAATTATTTCAATTGGTATCTTTTCTTTATTTTTATTGAATTTTTCTCATTTAAGTTTATTGATTAATAAGTAATAAGTGAAATTTAACACTAATATGCATTTATATCGTGGCCAAATCGTAAAATTGATCACGTTATGATGATGTGACCAATTATTTTATAAAATGGTGTTATTTCAAGAATCGTTGAACCGATTTAAAAGAAATTTAGTAGGAACACAATAATTTGTGATCATGGCAAGGACATGGAGGGGGGGATGCCAAAGATGCCAAACACTCTCTTTGATGACATTACGGTATAAAGTTACAAATAAAAACACCAACTACAAAGTACTTCTGCTTACAAATTTGAAATCGACCGCCCTTCCGCCAATGTAACGCATTGTAACGTTTTTCAAGACCTCCTCTCCCCCCAGATTGCATTACGTAACACTAGAACGCCCCCTTAGCAACAAATACCATTTCTCACTTTAAAAAAAACGCTATTTTTGTTTTCACCCGCCAGAATGGGTGATAATGGGTAAAAACCGGGTTTTTACCCAAATCACCCGGTTTAAACCCAATCGGGTGAAATGGGTTTTTACCCACTACCCATCTCTAGACATGGCATATCAGGGGCCAGGCCCCCCCAAAATACGCCAATATTCAACATTGAAAGAATTTCATTAAATTTTGACTTGATTTTTCCATACACGATAACTATATGACGTCTTTTAGATAAATACATGTAGTTAATGAGGTTCTGAAAAAAGCTAATTTGCATTTTAACTAGTTAATTACGTAAATTAACACTAAGTTTACTGTAGTTCGTTGTTAGTTGTACTGTAGGTTTAAAAAAATCAAAATAATAGCTGAGTAGATTTACCTACAGTATTTTTGTTTTGTAATATAAAATATTCATAGCTATGAATATACTCGTAGGCATGGACCTATAAAAAAAGTCGGACGGAGTCTCATCAACAAAATACTGTGACATTAGGATACACCAGCTTGCCTGTACGTACAGGCCGGCACGCACACATTCACACCCTGTTACACCACTTCGAGAGCAAACTTCACACAGTTGACACATTTAAGCAGCGAAAAAACAACACGAATACGACATGTCTTGTGCGATGAAATTGTGTAAAAACCGTTCTGTTCGAACAAACAAAAATTAAGGAATCACATTTCACAGGTAAAATAATAATCCAATCACTTATTTCCCGACATTAAAATATTGAAATTAATTGAAATCAAACGTCATTCACTTGAAAAAATAATACGTCAAAGACCAGTGTTCTCAGTTATTTACGTGGGAAAATTACCCGAAATATGGGAAATTAATAATGATTTTAGGACTTTTTAGTTATGTATTACGCATGGATTACTAATGTTTGGCCAAAAAACGTTTCCCAAAATATCACATCGCAAACAACGTTTCGCAAATTTTCATTTGGCAAATTCTCATTTGGCAAAACAACTTATAGCAAACTTTTAATTCGCAAATGCCGTTTTTGGCATATTATTGTTTAGCAAATTATTGTTTGGCAAAGTATGTTTTGGCAAACGTTTCATTTGGCAAAAATATTTCACGATACACTATTTACAAAATAATTTGATTGGTGCGTAGAATGGAATACAAATTAACTTGTGGTTATTATTTTGTTTAGTGGGTAGTTAATATAAAATTTGTTTTAAATTAATTTTCATATTTCATTCTTTTTATCGATATTTCCAAATGATTCATTAACAATAGAGGTGATTCTAGCGCTCGGCGGCCGCTGCCGCGGCACGCTTCGCTCGCCTTCGCGCGTTAAGGGTCACTGTTCTAACCTAACCTAACCTACTATTTTATGCAATACCTACTTTCTGCAACCATACTATTTTCTGCAATCTCTTTGTTTTACATAAAATTCTTGTGAAAACCATGATCATCTGCCTTATGGTTTGATTTGTGGGTAACGGTGGGTAAGTATGTGAAGTGTCAATTTGACCAAACAAATTATTTGGGATATAATATTTGGCAAAATAAAACATTTGCTATATAAACATTTGCCAAGTAAAATTTGGCCAAATGATAATTTGACCAAATGAATTAGTTGCGAAAAGTACAGTTGCTAAAAGTTCATTTGGGAAATGAAACTTTGGCGATAAGTTGTTTGCGAAGTGAAATTTGGCGAAAAGTAATTTGGCCAAACGGAAGGATACCTTTACGCATACTATGGAAATAAAATAATTTATCATAATTATTGTGTTTTAATGGGATATATTTTCATAGGCAAATTTGATCCTTCCTTTTGGAAATGTGGAACTGCGAAATTCAAATTTTCTTACATTGATTGCAAGTCAGTGTCAAGTGTCAGGTTGTATGTTAAAAAAAATCTATCAGAGATAATAATAATATATTGATGATGCATAAGATTATGATTATAATGTACACAAGATTCGTAATTTGTAACTGCGTGAATTATTTTTGATCAACATTATGTACATACCCTGACACACTGACTTGCAAACAATGTAAGAAAATTTGAACATTGAAAATTTCGCGCCTACCTCAACGCATACACCTTTCATCCTTTTAAAATGGCACGGAATAATTCTGTCTACATTTCCAAGTAACATCTGCCGATCTATGTTTTTCTTAAAATAAATGGGTAAAATGTTTTGGCTAACATGGCATCCCTAAATTCACTCACACAATAGACAAACGCCAAAATTTTGCGTCACAGTTTTGTTTTAGCGCGAGTTCCGTCCGCCTTTTTTTATAGGTCCATGCTCGTAGGTACGTCAGATGTCGTAAGCCAATAAGTATTTAAAGAGAAGCCTAAATAAGTTAAATACTCGGAACTTTATCTAATTGCTTAAATATAGTTACTTATTAAGAATAAGAATATTTTTATTGATGTAATACACTGTAACATTTTATATTGAAACCCTGGCTCCTAAACTAGTGTAAACTGTATTTCAGGAGCCAGTGTCTTCCCAATACAGACAGTTGTTAATATATATTACACATCTCAAAGTACATAATTACTCGATTTTTTTTTATTTATTATTATGGTGAAGTTATTAAAGTATAGTCCGCTCATCATCATCATTTCAGCCACAGGAAGTCCACTAAACAAAGGCCACCTATGATTTATCATTGAGATAATCATAGGTGACCTATGATTTCCAGATAGTCCAATACAGTAACAGAAGTCTCGAACTCGATATAAAATTATTCAAGAGCTAAGTACTTGTTTTAAAACTGATATTTATGTAATTTTTAGTTTCTTTTTGTAGTCACTCCGGTTTTTACACTAGTCATCTGGTATAGAGCGCCATTAAGTTCTCCTTTAGTCGTTTTTGTAAATGCAATACATATATGAATATATGAAAAATAAAATGTAACGTTAAATGCTGTGCATGTTTTAAATTGAGGAATATATGGAATAAAGAAAAAACAATTTATTAAATTGTGCTAGTATAATTTTTGATACATAAACAATGTAACAAAATTATGGCAAAATTATAAGATAGGTATTAATATCACAAAGAGCTTTTGGGATGTCCATTCTTCCGGATGAGGTCATTTTTGGTAGTTTGCTTAGCGTCTGGAACAAAGTAAGATATCACTATTAATAATCACATACATTTTCTCATGAGTATCTAATTTGGAGTGCTACTGACAACGCTACTCTTGTGGCGGAGTTTTGGGTAGACACTGTGTAGGTTTGTTCTCGACACGAAAAGAAGAAGAAGAAGAGTATATAATATTGAGATAAAATATGTTATCAAAAGTGATGTTAAAATGATCTTGAATAATTACGAGCGCTTGGCTCGGCAGTTAGTGTAATGCTTTCAGCGCCAGATTTGGTTGTAGAATTCTAATCCTGCTGAGGCAAATGTAGTGTGATGAGAACCGTAATCGCAGGACCGTTCATTGTGGAAAACCTTGGGGGAGGCCTTTGTCCAGTAGTAGATGTCATTTGGCTGAAACGAACGAGAACCGTAATCGTATCTATTATACTTATAATAAATCTGTAGAGAGATCAATTCTGTACATGAAATATATTTTCAAAATAACTATCAGGGGGTGATAAGTGATCGATACTGATGCCAAAAATGCAATCAGTAAAATTTTTGTCTGTCTGTCTGTCTGTCTGTCTGTCTGTCTGTCCGTCTGTATGTTCCTTATAGAAACAAAAAGTACTCGACGGATTTTAACGAAACTTGGTACAATTATTCTTCATACTCCTGGGCAGGTTATAGTATACTTAGGAATTCCCACGGAAACGGGAATTAGCGGGAAAATCCTTTTGTATGAAAAATCTAAACCGCTTAAGTTAGACGCTTGAAATTTGGCATGCAGGTACCTTAGTAAACTTGAAGCTTAGTCACAACAGGATATTGCAAAATTCCCACTGGAACGGGAGTTAGCGGGAAAAAACATTTGTATGAAAAAATCTAAACCGCGTAAGGATGAAGGGGGTAAAACGGGATCCACGCGTACGAAGTCGCGGGCGGCCGCTAGTAATAAATATATTTGTTGTTTTTATAGTGTGGGTTGTACCTATAACAACTGAATGAACCACTATAGGAGGTTGGTGTAATGATTGTTATTGGCTACAAGTAGCAAGTTCTTAGTCTTAATCATCCATATTAGAAGGTCGTCCTCCTGCAGTAGAGACTAAACGACTTGATGTTGAGATGTGCTCACCCGTAACCACCCTTGTGGCCGCCGCCGTAGCCACCGTAGCCGCCGGAGCCGGCGCTGGCACTGGCTGAAGCTTGAGCGCCCGCGCTGCTGCCTCCAAAGCCACCTTGGCCGCCGCCGCCGTGGCCACCGCCATTGCCGCCACCTCCGAAGCCGCCGTTGCCGCCACCTCCGTGGCTGCCACCGCCGAAACCGCCCTGGCCGCCGCCGCCTCCCAAACCGCCTCCCAAGCCGCCTCCGTGGCCGCCGCCGCCTCCCAGGCCACCACCGCCGCCGTGGCCGCCTCCCAGGCCACCGCCTCCTCCTAGGCCTTTGCCACCGCCGCCACCGAATCCACCGCCGCCACCAAATCCGCCGCCACCGCCGCCGCCTCCGCCGAATCCACCGCCTCCGTTAGAGCCGCCACCATAGCCTGAGGAGTACACATTTCATTTAATAACAAGTCTTGGTTTCTGACTGAAAAATCGAGCATCTTTGCAATCCTACAGAATGATATTAACTATAAGGGGAGAAACCCTTGTTTCGCTTAAAGTCGGTATTGAAATCCACTTTGAAAAGTAACTTGATATTGATGTCGTAATCATTGTGCATTGTTAACATCAGTTTTTGAAGTGGCTAACGAAGCGCCGACACTATTAATAATCTGTTTATTTATTTTTAAAGCTTTAAAGGGCGAACTTAATGCCATGGGCATTCTCTGCCTACTGGTTAACTACCAGTAACTCTTTGTAGTTAATGTTTTTAAAGCTCTGCAAAGCTTCAATATAATAATAAGGTCTTTATTTTATGAACTGCCTAATGACTGAGCATAATCTACATATTAATACCTACCTATTTGGTAGGTACTACACGAACTTTGTTATTGCATTATCAATTTTAATAAAAAAATACAACAAAACAAAACGGCTAAATATGACCATTAAAAGCGGTTTGTTTACCTGGTGCTGCGTAGACGCAGGCGAATAGCCCTAAGGCAACAACGGGTAATGCTAGTCGCACCATCCTGCACACTGTGCCTAGGACCTCCTCGGCTGTCTTTATATACAGCCCGCTTATGTCATACTTCATAATCGAACCAACATATCAGGCTCTTCAGTTTTTGTTGCAGCTTTTTTGCGGCAACTTACCGGTCGGGGGAGGGAAGACCCGAGTACATAGAACTAGTATTTCGAATGAAACGAAGGCAAAAAACATTTGAGGTCCTAAACGGTGATTGAAAAGACAGTTGGAAGATCAGGAACTGATAGCAGTCATAAAAATGTATCATCCCGAGCCGCCCGCAGCTTTTTTTTATTGTTTGATTGATGGAGATTTATTGAGAACATTGTGACATGATAGGCCTACAGGACATCGAATTGTTTAGAATTAAAAAAAAAGGATTGGGAAGAGGAGGAAATTGTTGATAGCTAACTTAGTAATAAATTTTCAAAATCTTAGAAAAGTTTGGAATTTTACTTAGGGTGACTGGTTGTTTCCTTTTTGCAATTAAGTACGTCCTCGTCTTTTCAAAGAGAACCTTGACGAGTGTAAAGAAAGACTCACCGAAGTTTCATTTCAATTGCATGAAAGAGACAAATTAATTTTCATCTAGTTATATGGTGGCCATTTAGTTGAAAGTCTATGATATTAAAATTCAGCGACCAATGGCGTTTGAATCGAGTCTAATGCGTCTCTTCATAATACCATTATTGAATAAGTCTATTTATGTCTTAGCAACTTAAGTCTTGTTTTATCGTTAAAAAAATAAGTCAATTGATAGCTATTATTAAAAAATAATTGAGATCACAACATCCAAAAGGAACATAATAAAAGAGGTCAGACCAGACCTGTAATTTTAGGAGCAGCCATAGATAGATCTAATTTGGCTCAATCGAATCGACAACAACTTATAATGACTAACGACGACGCGACGCGACGAGGACTCCGTAGTACGAAATTTTTTTTTCTTCTGCGATGCTATGTTTATGCATTTTGCAGATATGAATAATTTACAAAACTGATTTTTCCATTTTGCGTGCCCCAAGACGTGAACCTAAGACCTCCGGATCAACACAGTCACTAAGTTTTTATTATTACCATCAGCTCTTGTTCAGAATATTTCTCATGATTTTAATATTGTTCCTATAAAAAAATGATGTAGTTCATAAAACGAGCATAATTAATGGTTTTAAGTCTTAATTTAACGTTATGATGTATTTCTTAGTTCTTATAGGTGACAGTTTAGATGTGCGCACGCGGCTTGTGGTCAAGTTCGATAGCTAACCTTATTTACACAAAACAGGTAAGCGGTACGTTCTCCTTGAGAAGTTTTCTTTGTTTTAGGTATAACAAAACTCGGGCACAAATAAATTATCTCAGATTTTACGACCGTTAATTATATGAGCATCGTCATCAAATGTGCTGATGTTGTGGTCATTGGTAGTACTTTTCCGTAAATCTCATGGTTTGACATCCTTTGGTCAATATTGACAACAAGTAAGGATGACTGTATAAGCTCTCTTCCTTGTGGCATGTTACTTGGTTGTAATATACGCGTAAAAATGTAGCGTAGGTAAATGTAGAGTCTGAGTACCGTCGACTGTGTGTGTGTGTGTTATCGATACTGTCGATTATTTTGTATTATGTCTTTCATTTATTGTAATAATCCACAGAATCTATTGGTAGCTATAAATAAGAATAGCATTTTTCTCTTATTGCCAAATTCGGCTATCTACTGTTTTTACATTATAATAATTAATTTTACAGTATTCTGATTGCACCTAAAAATAATGGGTATCTTTTATTTCTTTTAAATTACTTAATTCATTAGTTATAATGTACATTTCTTGTACGTTTCATGTACTTATGTATGGTATTGTTAAGCAATGATTTACCTCCCTCTTTTGTTGCTCTGTAGTGTAATGTTTGTCGCTCCAAAAGACGATGTTGATTCAAACCTACTACCAGTGGCAAATGCCTGCATGATGGGGGTTGTGTTTCAGTTTATCACACATGATGATCTCATTTTTTTAGTATTTAGGAGTCCCAATAGTGGACTTCTAGGCCACGGCCACTTCCAGGTCATTTTGCCCTGTTACAGCTTGAACTTTCCCAAGCCAGTCTTCTTTGCTAAAAATTCGTTATTTCTTCCCATTCAAGATAATCGCAAACAACTCTTCATACGAACGAATCTACCGATTTTGAAATCTTAGGAACCGGCCACGTGATTTTTTCAGGCGGGGGCGACGCCCTTTTAATGTAATTGGAACTCTGTCAACTGGAACTGTGTTGCGATGCAGCACACACGTTGTCTATGCCTAAAAATGCTGTGCATGAGTTCCAATGTGTACATCATTTAGAGAAAAACAATTTTCTCTCAGAGGTTTGTAGTGATATAAGGCGGCAAAAATCTAGAGCACTGAAGGAAACATGACTAAAATGTTTTAGTCACAAGCAAGGCATTAATTTTAGAAACAAAATAACGATTTTCAAAGCGATCTCAATTCTATGGCCAAATTCGCAAGATCCGTGCTGCGTGTTGTTACTTAATTAGTGATTACTCATACAGACCAAAGTTATATCGAATTGTTTTAGGTGACATTTATCTCCCTAAGAGGCAATTAACTAATTACCCGCACGAAAATACATAATTCATTGATTGATTCCAGATGTTACTTTTTGTATTTTTTTCTTTTTTGTAGTTTACAATTTTAAAAAAGATACAATTATTAGAACTTAATACAAATTATTTCCCTCATAGAACAGAAGTACTATACTATAGCAACGTTTTAAGCTCATGAATGCTATGCAAATATACAAGTTAAATAAAACTAACTACGACTTAAGTAAACGTATTTATTTTAATTCATAACAAAGATTTTAAAACTATGGAAACATTGATTATAATTTATTATACAATAATAACATAAGCATAAGTACTGTCATTCCAGGTAACGTAGAATTTGGTAGTTCTTTATCTGAAACTGAAACAAAAAGAAAAATAAATAAGTTAATTGATTTATATGAATTTTCCTATAAATGATAGACATAGAGTTTTCAGCGTATGTTACCAAGACGAGAATATCTCTTTCTTTATGTGGGAAAGGTTAGCTAGCAGTAATTGTAATCAATTTTATGAACCTATAATTTGATAATATGGAAGTTAGCCATCGAAGCGTATTAATAAAATTCATAAAATTCATTTATTTTTGCAAATAGGCTTTTAAAAAGCGCTTTTACACGTCCCAATATTAACCCTACCACTGCTTCGGGACAATAAATGGGCCAGTGCTGAGAAGAAGCAGCGCAAGAAACTCAGTCACTATTGTCAGCCTCCTTTTAGTATGAATAGATGATAGTCATATTACTTTAGTATTAGTCCAAAAACAAAAAACTTGTTTTTCCGATTAAGGTAACGTGTTTATACGTGTATAAAATAATGCAGATATGCTCACCCGTAACCACCCTGCCCGGCGTAGTGCCCCGCGCTCGAGCTCGCAGTGCCCAAAGCATGCGTGGCGTCACCGCCGTAGCTGCTACCGCGGCCGCGGCCTCTCGCGCCAGAGTCGCCGCTGAGCCCGCCAGCGCCGCCGCTGCCGCCTGTCCAGCCGCTCCCTCGCCCGCCGCCTTCGCGGCCTCCGACGGCGCCGCCTCCGAATCCACCTCTACCTCCAGCACCACCGCGTTGACCAGGAAGGCCTCCAGATCCTCCGGCACCGCCGCCAAAACCGCCGACACTGCCTCCAGAGCCTCCAGCGCCTCCGTGTCCAGAACCGCCTTCGGCACCGCTTCCGGGTCCTCCTGCTGATCCACCGCCTCCGAGGCCTCCACCGCCGCCAAGGCCTCTAGCACCCCCGTGTCCAGAACCGCGTCCAGCGATCCCTCCAATTCCGCCTGATGTTCCACCGGTTCCAAAGCTTTTACTGCCGCCGCCGCCAACTCCGCTGAAGCCACCACCGCCGCCGTAATCGCCGCCGAAACCGTCACCCCTTCCTCCCCGGTCGTCAGAGCTCCTACCGTAACCTGAAATGTTAAGCGTGTTAGTTGTATAAAATATTAATAGAAATTAATAATGAATTAATTTAAATTTAATTAATTAATGTAGTTTGAAGTGTGGTTTTATTATATGGGCCATAGAAAGCTTGGTACCTGGAGCAGCGTAGACGCAGGCCACCAGCCCTAGGGCCACCACGGGCAACGCGAGCCGTGCCATCCTGCAGACTGTACCAAGGCATTCCCGTCTGCACATTATATACTGCCAGCTTGTGTCATAACTTCTCAGCCTATTGTTTATCACCCACATGTTGTTTGTACCAAGTTTTGTGAATCTTGTTTGTCTTCCCAAATAAATGAAATAATAATGACGTACAGCCTTACTTATAAACGTTTATTAAAATTAAGACACAGTTTAACGGTCTCTTAAATAATATCTTAACTTAAAAACGATAATTAGTGTTAACCAACGTCTTAGTGACTGCTTAAATAACTGTCAAGTTAAACAGCGTCGGACCCTTGTTTAAAGCCCTAATTACCAAAATGGCGGATCAAAAAGTTAACAGCTGATGCGTGACGTGCCATGCAACGCGCTGTGTTGTTGCGCTGCGCGAAGATACACACAAAAAATAGCATGAAACACATGGCAAAGGTTGACGCAAACAATACAAAGTGAAAGTATAACAATAGATAGACATTACAACGGTTGGTGTTTCTTAATACCTACACAGTTTAAATAATTCAATGGACTAATAATACACCACATGTTACGTCGGCGAAACGACAATAAAATCCTAAAGGCTTCCTAAGGGTGCATGTGCGTGAGAAACTAAAATTACCATGCCTTAAAATTGCGCTAAAAACTAACAAAGCATTTACATCTTAAGCTTGTACAAGAAGTATTACAATTATCTAGTGTATATTATTATAATTGGTACATAATTTTAATATGGCGTATGTGGGACATATTCGCTACAGTACTTTTGTTTGTTTGTTGTTGTAGACTTGACAGTTGACTGACAGACAGCGTTTCATTTGACATAACTTTGACGTTTATTATTCTTAATTTTAGCATTGGCTTTCGGCATTTTGGCATTAGAACTGGTCTGAAGTTCGGTTCAGGTGGATTTAAAAAAGAAAAACTCTAATTAACAGTTGATTAGTTAAGTGACGCTTAAGCAGTGTTTATAAGTGAGAAATATTTAATTACTGATTAAGAAGTTAACGAGTCGTTAGTTAATTAGTTGCTTAGACGTTGATTAGTTGATTTTTATAAGTAAGGCTGGTACTGTTTACGTGTTTTTGTACACTGAGTTGCCTGCAATACTATAGGTACAATATTACATATGGGTTTTGTCTGAGACCGCCAGTCCTAATCTTTTTTACGGGAATCAGACATCCCTAAAATGTCCTGAGTAGGGGTACGATAGCCGAAATTTCAGGCTTGTCGCATATTCCAGCTTCTACAGCGTTCTTTAAGAATGATTTTTCCTCAAAAAAGCTTATCCACAACGAGGAAGCTCTTAAGCCTACATCTCACCTGATGATCAGGCCGAAGGTGGAAACGAGCTTCACTCAAAAATCCCAACTGACACTGTCTATCTTACCTCTAAATGCCGAAACACTGTTGTTACGGCATCAGACTTATATGTAAGATGGTGCTAGCTAGCCAGGAGGACTTAATCCATATAGGTAACAAGTTCTACTACCAACTAAACCGAACAGAAAAATCTTTCCCTCTGGGAATCGAATCCGGGACCTCTGGGTTTGAGACATTAAAAAGTCACAAAGACATTTACTTTACGAGAAGGTTTTAACCATTCTCTAAGGGATCTCAATTCCTTGGCAGAGCGCTCAAGATCCGTGCCGCGTGTTGTGACATCTTTAGTATAATTGGGTTACTCATACATACCGCATAATATAGAATTGTTTGTGACATAATATATCTACATAAGAGGCAATTAACATTCATTACCCGTACGAAAATACATAATTTGTCTTTACCTGTTCTATTTTTTTTTCCTTTTTTAGTCAAAGAAGAGCAAACTTTTAGTTAAAAACATTTTAAAGCTACCTAATACAAATCAATTCCCTCATAAAACAGAAATGGTATTTCTAAATCTTTATACCTACCTATAGCAAACCAAATCGCTTCCGCTGTCTGTGCGCTTAGATCTTTAAACTACGCAATGGATTTTAATTAATGCAGTTTCATCAATACTCGTAGGTGGTGAATCAAAAGGAGGCTTTATTATGTCATAATACTTTACTGTTACCCCCTTATTATTAAAAGTTACACCCTAGTTGAACTCTGGCTTAAATTGACATTTAGTATGGAAATGTCATTTTAGTCCAGGGTTCATCCTAGGTGAAACTTTTTATTAATAAGGGGGGTAGAGTAAACGCAAACAGTAGCGTCAACTAGAAGCTCGTAACAACCTTTATTACAAGTTATAACATTACCCTGTACTCTTCATCAGTGATGAACTGATGAATAATGACAAAGTAGCATGTCAGTCAGAGACTACACTCGCTTTCTCTATTTTGTCTCTGACTCAGTATCGGTTGAATGATTTGTTATTAAATAAAATAAATAAATGATTTCGATGCGAAGCCGGGAAGGTAGCTAATGAAATGAAAAGACGACACAGAGAATTTTTTACACGTATTTTATTTTAATTCATAACAAAGTTAAAAAAATATGGCAAACATTGATCAATATTTGTTTTACAATAACGAAATAAAGTACGTATATTTATATCACATGAGCTTTTGAGATGTCATTTCAGGTAATGTTGAATTTGGTGTTTCTTTGATTTATCGACTGAAACAAAAAGAAAATAAATTGCATTATTGATAAAAGAATAACCATACCATTAATAGAAAAAATGAGAGGGAAGAAAGAAAAATAATTTCGTACCGACCACGAGTGTCAGTTGCGGAAATGGGCAGAGTAAATAATATATCTACCTAACTTATTTATATATACGAGTACATTTATGTGCACATTAGTGAAGCTTTCACAAGGATATCAAATCTATCGCCTATATTCATCAGGAATAATGTGGGATTTCAATTTCAATTGGTCCAAGTACGTAGGTGGTTCTATATTGGCTCACATAAAATTCTTTATCCTATTCTTTGTCTTGCTACCGATTTGTGTTCATAATAATCTCTCTTCATAATTTTATTTTTCATACTTTTTTTATTCATACATTTTTATTACTACCAACGGAGCTCATAACAGTTACTAATCATAATTTTTTTATCAATACTGTTACTGCCAAGAACCATTTAAAACACATAATTTTTATTTTCAGATCTTTTTTCTTCATAACATTCATTGATCATATTGTTTTAATTAATAATGTTGTTACTAAGAACATACTTCAACTCATAATGTTGTTGTTCAGAATAATTTACTTTATAACAGACATACTCGTATCTTTAAAAAAATNTTCTGCAGTGCAGTGAGGTTCTGCAGTGAGGTTTTTTAGCCTCTGAAGGGCGTCGACGATCGACCTGTCATGTAAACCAAAGCAGTAATGCCAACGTTACGAAAATGAATTAGTTTCCACAATATCGAAATATGACGATTGAATGTGTAAATCAAAATAAGGCGAAGTTTTGAGGTGGTTTGAGTTTTGTTGCATAAAAATAATCTTTAACATTTTTTTTTTCATTTTTTAATCGGGAGTGCTGGGCCCCTGGTCATAGTGGGCCCCTAGGCACTGGCCTAAAGTGCCTTATGGATAATACGGCACTGGGGGTAGGGCAGACAAGACTACGTGGAGTTGGTTTTGCAGCGATTCGTTTCTGTCACATTAGTTTTGTGGCACAAAATATTGCCTGTTTTGGACCATTTCAAATTAATTTTATGTTAAAATACGATTTATAGCCTGACCAGGAACATAAAAACCCTCGCCATGTTGCGGAAAACTAGTGGTACTAATTTCTTTTAATGGCAACAGTAACTGAAAACTTCATTGACATGTCACCTTGCATGTCAGTCTGTTGCTGTCAAAGTGTAAACAAACTTTATTTTAAATGTGCGCAATTGATTTTGTGAATGAAATTGCTAAAATCTTTTTATAGTCGTGAAAGAAAAGTGGTTCACAATGTGTTAAAAGTATTTGTCGAAGAGAAATACCAAGGGTTCGGACAATATTTTCATTGAATAATGTTTCCAACAAAGGTTGTCAAATTGACTGACATGTTTATCGTATAATACAGTCCACTATGAAAATTAGCTGTGGTTTGTTTCAACTATTTTTTGTCACTTTCTAAGTGTTGAATTTTATGGAATTGGGAAAGAAGTACCGAGTTTGAAGCGTTCATGAGCAGACATTGCAGTTGAATATTCAAGTTCTGAATTTGATTATTGATGAATAATAAAAAAAATCCTACTAGCTCGATTGATGGTTTCATTTAATTTATTTAAACCAGGTTACCTATAATAATATTTTTTCGTTAATTTATGAAAATATCAAATTAGCCCGTAATCCTGAATCCTGATACATAAAGTTAGCCTATTAATTTAACACAGGTACGACTGTACTCAGTGTTGCACTATCAAATGCAATTGACGCGCCTCTATGCCAGGGTTTTTATGTTCCTGGTCAGGCTATAATACGAATATAGACATCATGATTTTCAATAATATGGATAAATACACTTATGAGTAATAAATTTATGAAAACAAATATTAGGATACATCACATTTATGAATGTTATAGTTATTTATTCGAATGATTATGAGTTTCGATCATTAGTATAGAAAAATATATGAAAACAAATAATTAGTAAAAACTAAGTGTATGATTAGTGATATTATGAATATCAATGATTATGTTTTTAAATATGTAGGTTTTAAATTTTTTATGAAGAATGATCATTATGGTATCAAATTGTATGAGAAATATTTTCGGACCTCCAATGATAGGAATTGAAAAGTTATGTAAGAAAATGCGCTACCACGTAGGTACGAGTAGTTGTGGAACCTATTTAATGTAAACAATTTACAATAAAATCTTGAGATAAAATAACGCAGATGTTGCTCACCCGTAACCTCCCTTATGGCCTCCATAGCCGCCCGCGCTTGAGCTCGCGCTAGCGCTGGCTGAAGCCTGGGCTCCGGCACCGCCGTAGCCGCCGCCACTGCCAGCACTGCCGCCGCTGCCGCCGCCTCCCGATCCGGCCACGCCTCCATGACCTCCGAGGCCTCCACCAGCGCCGCCTCCAAGTCCACCGCCACCCCCGGCTCCGTTTCCTAATCCAGCGCCACCTCCAAGGCCTCCGCCACCGCCGCCTCCAAGTCCACCACCGCCGCCATGGCCGCCATTTAATAACGTCTTGACGAATCCACCGAGGAGTTTGCCGCTTCCGAGGCCGCCACCGCCTCCGAAGCCTCCACCGCCACCTCCTCCGCCTCCAAAGCCGCCGCCACCGCCGCCTCCAAGGCCGTCTCCGCCTGCTAGGCCGCCGCCGGCGCCTCCTCCCAGGCCTCCACCGCCTCCATGGCTTCCGCCGCCTCCACCGCCGCCTCCAAATCCTCCCCCGCCTCCATGGCCGCCGCCGCCGCCTCCTCCGAAGCCACCGCCGCCACCTCCGCCGAAGCCACCGCCGCCGCCGAAACCGCCGCCGCCTCCTCCCCCGCCGTTAGAACCCCCACCATAACCTGGAACGTTAAATATGCTAGTTGTATAAAAATGTTATTGAACAATACAAAAAACGTGTCACCGTGCCGTATTGATGGGTAAATCGGTAAAATTAGAGCCGCGAAGAATGAGTCCGTATAATCGAGATTCTACTGTAGTTTAAAATGCGGTTTCATGATATGGGCGATAGAAAGCTTGGTACCTGGAGCAGCGTAGACGCAGGCCACCAGCCCTAGGGCCACCACGGGCAACGCGAGCCGTGCCATCCTGCAGACTGTACCAAGGCATTCCCGTCTGCACATTATATACTGCCAAGTGCCAGCTTATGTCATAGCTTCAAACCCAGTGTTTAACATCCACTTATGTTTTTCATACCGATTTTTTTGCTTCGCCTTGACGTTAGCTGTCACGGTAAAAACTACCTGTCTAAACTTAGATGCATTTCTGGAGATTATTTGTATAGATTCCGCGTGAGAGGAGGAAAAATGATGATGTTATTTTTATACAGCAAAGACTTCAACATAGAGTGAAACCATAAAACAAAGAACGAAAACAAAAAATAATTACCGCCTTGCAGTTGGAGTACCAATAGCTCTAATTGCAAGTGCATACCAATAACACAAACGTACCAAACACTTTATTAAAATTACAACTGCATGTAACAATTTAGGCAGTCCTATCGTTAAGAAGCAATCTATTATAATCTGGCGAAAAGACAGGATAAGAAGACATAATATTACGGAAGCCCATAACTATTCATTTACTAGGTAGAGTTCGTACTCGTAATGTTGATATTTGTATCAAAATAATGTAACCAAAGTAAAATAACTTACACATGAAGTATGTTTCTTCATTGTCACTTAGCAAGCTGAAGTGGCAATGGGCAGGGCACATAGTACGCAGAAATGACGGCCGATGGGGCAGCAAGGTTCTAGAGTGGAGGCGTAGGACCGACGACCTCATAAAGGTAGTAGGAAAGCGCTAAATTATTCTGTGGCTAAATGCAGGCCGCTACCAACCGGCCTTTGTGGAAATCATTGGGGGAGCCCTATGTTCAGCAGTGGACGTACTATCGCTGAAATGATGATGATGATGATGTATAGTATGTTTGAATTATTTTAAACAAAAATATCAATCGTGAAAACCATTTAAAATATTGTTGCCTCATTTAATTTGACCCCCAATTTAATTGACTTAAAGCCAAAGCTTAGCCTCTTTTTCGAATCGTGTTCTTTTATTTAGGTTTGCGGTATCGATAAAATCTAACAGCAATTAAAATGTTGACTGACGTTACTAATTGTTAAAATTATTGATATGTAAAACCCTGCAAAAGTTCCACTGACCATGACTACGCCGAATATTTTTTTGTTACACTTTTTTAATTCGCTGGATCGCTACGAGAAACATATTAATTAAAGTATCTACTTATCATAACATTTTATTCTGCGAAGAGTGTGTTTATTCTTAAAACTGCCAGTTTGACTTTTCCTTAAGTTTATTTGCGCGCTAATACACTGTACTTGCTATTTAAGTATCCTATTTATTCTTATTCTTATTATAAACTTCTGAATTAAATAACGTACCTTGGTTTTACTTGGAATACACAAGTTACAGATAATGGCAATTAAACGCTAACCTGCAAGTAAGTAAGTGAATCTATAATTAGGTAGAGACGCACCGGGCCAGAACAGTATCTACGTGGTCTATATCTGATAAGTTGGGATTAATCTTAAGTACTTCGTATGGATAGGAAGGATGTTAAGCCGTTGCAGCGTGAAAACAAGAAGAAAGACACAATCTTTTGAAATATATTTTCTTAAAGATTATTAGTAATTTGTTATTGCACAAATTACTAATAGTTCTGTTAGCCCTCGTACTAAGCTAAATATGCTCACCACAATACCTATAGTCGAGCGGCGGCGGGGACCGAACCCGCGTTCCCCAGATCACCAGTTCGCCAGTCCGACCCCTTCACCGTTCGGCTATCGTGGTTTCTTTTCTACGTATATTTGTGTCCGAATTATGAAATTTTCTGTCGGTCCGATGTTCCAAAATTAAATAATTGCCTTTATAAGTACATATAACTATACCTAAAGCTAGCTAGTAAACTTCCGGAATCTGATAGGTCGCGACATCTAATATTTGTTTTGATGGCTAATCACTCGTATGGAAGTCATTGACCTCTTTACCCAACTTGTCGTCTAGTTCCACGCGAGCTTATAAGCTCGTCGTGTCGACAAGTTCATAAGTTTCATTTTTCTTTTCAATAAACTGCCCTATGATTTTCAATTTATGATTCAAATTTTTCTAAACATATTTAAATCTAACCTGTAACAATGTTTGATGTACGTTTGTATGTAAGCGCATTATTTTCTTGGTGGTATAGTACCTAAGTAAGATTCTTTCCCAGCAGTACCAACTTATTATTCTGTGGTAGTGCCTATTTATTTATTGATTTTGAAAGACTGAAGGAAACGCTGCTTTACACCAATGAACTTATCTACATATTAGATGTTTTTTTACTGATGAATTGCAATTCACGTGTGGAACACACGTGATTCTACACATAATCTACCGGCAGACAAAAAGGAGCAAATATTCTACTAGCTTAATTTGATGTTTTATGGTTGCATCAATTCGATTCAGTTATTATGAAATTGAGCATCTTCTATTTCATTATTAATCTTCTTTTTAATATGGTTATTTATGCAAAACTATCACTTGCTCACATGGATTTTCGTTTATTATCTGGTTGTTATTCCTAAAGGAGGGAAGAATATCCAAATACCTAAGTGGTAGAGTTCCTATCCAAAATATATCTGGGAGCTTGGAATATCTATCACATACAGGCGTGCGGTATTGCATCGTTGCGTCGTTAGCAGATGCTAAAATTGAAAATAGTCTCATATTTTTCATCAATCATATGTATGTTTATTACCTTCGTATCATATTTTCCTACATTTTTAGATTTTAAATTGACTACAGTTTACACTAATATTTGCGACAGGCAGCTTTTGAACCCGCTACTGTTGACTTTCTGAAGCACGAACCACTCATCAAGTGACCTCAATGTTATTGTTTTTGAGTTTTTCGTTAGGTCCTCAGTTATGTATGTATACTTTGTTATTATAAAACATGTGAGATACGATTTAGTCTATTAATATAAAAACAATTAGGTACTTATTGGGAATAGTGACTCATTCATTTTATCGTAGCTTATGTTATCTGTCTTAATCAATGCGGATAACAAGTTTTAATAATACATTAACGTACTGTTTACATGTTTTTATGCAGTGAAGCCTGCAATGCTATAGGTACTGTGTGTTTTGTCTAAGACCGCCGGTAACCGGTATTTTTTTGCGGTAGCGTGGTGAGGTCATCGTCACTGCTCGATGGCCATCTAAGGCTTTTTATTTTCTTTTTTAGGCTCGAAACCTGAGAACCAATAGTCGGCCATTACAAACCTTATTTAATGGAAGAGATCTATCTGTGCAGACCGTGAACACCGGCGTGGCTATCTTTGAGATAGATTATTATCAAAATAGCGTAGGTAATAAAGTTTATATTGGCTGTTTTAAGAAGAAAGATCTGTAGGTAGCATATCATAGCATAAAAATCTATCAGAACTCGTTTTATATTATGGAATATGAAAAAAAGTAGAAGGCAAAATCTGTATAGTCTAAGCAAAATTAATGATTTGCATGTAGATGTTTTACGCAATAAGAATAAAAAAATACTTCCTAAATTTTACTTTAGTGAGTCTTCACTCTAAATACCTATCGTTAATAGTTACGCAAAATAATACATATAAAAAACAACTTAATCAATTGAAAAAAATCTAAGAGGTTAAATAAAACAGAGACACAGGTTTTCTTAAACATTATATTGACTAACAATAATGAGTTTATCTTTTTTACTAGCCTACGTTTATACAGTCGTGTTTCAATACATCATTAGGTACATTCGGGTTCGTTTGTAAGTCATCACAATATTCTTGAAGGAGTTACAATGATTCTTATTTGCCGTAGCCGCCAGCACTAGCTGATGCGGAAGCGTGAGCGCTGGCGGACGCGTGAGATCCTCCGTATCCCCCTGAGCCACCACAGCCTGAGGTGCACCCACCACTTCCCCCGGAGCCTCCGTGACCACCGCCTCCATATCCACCAGAACCACCTCCTAAGCTAGCGCCGCCTCCATGACCGCCTCCCAGACCACTTCCACCTCCAAGCCCTCCTCCCAGACCACCGCCTGAGCCTCCGCTACCACCGTAGCCACCACTGCCTCCATGACCACCGCCAAGACCACCGCCTAGGCCGCCTCCACTTCCAAATCCTCCACTACCCCCTTGACCTCCTCCAAGTCCACCACTACCTCCATGGCCTCCACCAAGGCCTCCAGCACCTCCGAAGCCTCCACTACTGCCGTGGCCACCGCCTAGGCCACCGCCACCACCGGATCCTCCTACCAGGCCACCACTAGAGCCGCCGCCGTATCCTCCAGACCCACCGGATCCGCCTCCCAGACCGCCGCTAGATCCGCCGCCATATCCACCGCTTCCTCCAAAACCACCGCCTCCTCCAAATCCAGCACCGCCTCCAAATCCACCGCCACCGCCACTATATCCACCGCTGCCTCCGTGGCCACCTCCTAGACCTCCAGAGCCTCCGGAACCTCCTCCCAATCCACCACTTGACCCGCCTCCGAATCCTCCACTGCCGCCATGTCCTCCTCCAAGGCCGCCTCCGTTTCCTCCGCCCAATCCACCACTGGATCCGCCTCCAAATCCTCCACTGCCTCCATGGCCGCCTCCTCCACCGCCACCGAGGCCTCCTCCAAAGCCGCCTCCGCCTCCACTGCCGCCATAACCTCCGCTTCCACCTCCAAGACCTCCAGCGCCACCGCCACTTCCGCCAAAGCCTCCAGATCCTCCGTGGCCTCCGCTTCCACCTAGTCCGCTTCCTCCACCGAGTCCGCTACCGCCTCCGAAACCGCCCCCTCCGCCACTGAAACCATCCCCGCCGCCACTGTAGCCACCCCCGCCGCCGTATCCTCCCTTTCCGCCCAGGGTGCCAGTGAACGCGAAACCGCCCGATTTCCCATCATCAGACTTCGTGCTCACGAACTTCCCATTGCCGCTAGCAGCGCTTTTGGCAAGGTGCTGAAGCCCGGACCTCACTGTTCCAATAATGCCGTTGACGCCGTCGGATATGCCGTCGAACCCACCGCCGAAACCGCCGCCGCTACCGCCACCGCCGCCGCCGCCGAAACCGAATCCACCGCCGCCTCCACCGCCGTACCCGCCGCCTCCACCGCCGTACCCGCCGCCGCCGTAACCACCGCCTCCGTGGCTACCGTAGCCACCACGACGGACCCTCACTGCAAAAAAAAAGTAATAAGCTATAAGACAAAGAGGAAGTGGACCATAACAATACATATTGTACAAGAAACTGTGGAGTACTTTGGATTATGGGTCATTTCAAACTTGAGTATTGACTTTATTTTATTGAGCACATAACAATACATATTTATTGGGCCTTTTAATTGATACTTTAGAAGTTTCATTTTCCATTGGCATCAAATAAATCCAACTGAGTATGTAAACTATATTGCATTGTTTACCGAAATAGAATCTTAACGAGGTTTTTTCTATGACACCTACCTGCTGATGCATGGCTGAGCGCTACGGCCAGGCAAAATATGACACCTAGCGCCGTCCTCTTCATATCTACGGTTGAGCTTTACTGACCATATCCTTCTATTAACCATCCTTTTATACTACTTATTATATTAATGGTCTAAACGTGCAAGCCTTACGAACATAAACACGAGTACTCGGAAACAATAAGTTTTTGTACACAGTTAATCTCCAACAAAATCATGTAGTTTTTTTGTTGCCACGGTAACCAATTAACATTAATTTACTGGGCGAGGGAAATACTTTATTTATTTTATAAAATATTTAATTGAGTACATCAGTCGTAAGTAAATCTTATATCTATTCATAGAGTTAATAACTCTATGTATCTATCTATATAGCTATGTATGTACATACAAATGTTAACACAACAATTTGTTAGGATGTATCGATGTATGTTTATAACTTCGGGACACCATATCAGCTGGTGCTGAAAAGTGACAAAAAACTCAATAACTTTTTTATTTATTACAATTTACTAAAACATGGATGAAATTAAATAAGTTACCAACTAAACGCTTGATTGTGGTCACACTATATCCAGTTGTGGTTAGTTGGACTTTCCAATATCGTATCTTAAAATCTTGCATCGGAATCTGATGGGTTATTTTGACCTTGACATTAATATTAACAAGTAATTCTCAATACCTACTGTTAAAGTCTTTATTTCTACTTCTTTATAAATCTAGTTAAAGCAGCACAATTAGATATAATGACAACAATTAAATATATTAGACTCTACAATGATTTTATGCGTTTATATCAAACGTTTACGTCATTGGCGTTTTAAATAATAAATATACATTGTTGATAGATTTATTATAACGACATTGGAGACAAGACTTCGCTATAATTTTTATTGCGGTTTTGTACAAGAAACTGTTTTCTGAATTCAATTCATTTAGGAAAATATAATGTAGAGTCACAAAATATTTTGCTTGAATAATTTATCAGCCGAAAGTAGGTATAATTAACTATGTAGCTGATCACAGTTACATAGTATTAGCTGTGAGATTTGTGAGAGTGTGAATGACTTTTCCGGTACGCGGCCTCCATTATTCCAGAACCTTTCTGCCCCATCGGCCGTCAGTTCTACGTACTATGTGCCCTGCCCATTGCCACTTCCGTACCGGAAAACGCAGCGTGGGACGTCCACCTACAAGGTGGACCGACGACATCGTAAAGGTAGCAGGGAAGCGCTGGACGCAGGCCGCTACCAATCGATCAACATGGAAAGCATTGGGGGAGGCCTATGTTCAGCAGTGGACGTCCTGTGGCTGAAATGATGATGATGATGATGAATGACTTTTCAATAATTTAGCAAACAAGCTAGGAATCTTCAATGGCCCAGCCATAAAAAAATATTGGGGTTAATTAAGGTTTGCCTTTGTAGATATAACTTATTGAAATCAACAAAAGATTATACTTAGTTACTCGTATATAATATAGGTAGACATAAATGTCATTAGAATTTAATTGCAATTCATACATCACCGTCACGCATGATATACGATTAAGTACAAGTAATGTTTACTACAACTACAATTAATGTTTCATGGCCTAACCTTATATAAATAAATAATAAATAAATATAAATAAATAAAATAAATAAATTCTTTATTGAATAACTTATTGACAGTTTTTAACAATAGGCTAATATTAAACTATAATAGGTAAAAGTACATACGTGCCTGAACTAAGAATTATAATTCCTGTATCTCAGGCAAAAAAAGGCTTACATTACTTTATTAATAGAACTATTTCTAGCAAAATATATAATCTAATATTTATACATAATAATATATAATTAAAAATTAAAATCTACACAAGTTACATTTAAGATTTAAAATCAATACAATGTGCTACATAATATTGCTTGTTCTACATACTTTATTAAAAACATCCAACATACAGTGTCTGCGTAAACAAAAATAATAAACTGGGTCACGCTCAATGTTGCAAAAATCATACAAGTTATTTATGTTTACTCTAGATATACTTAAATGCAATTCGGTTTGTTAAGGTAGATTTGATAAAAGGTTAGTGGGACAGCTCTATGATTAATTATGGAGTTATCTACTAGTAGGTACTAATGGTAAAAGTTAATTTATACAATCTAGGTAGTAAATTAGCTAATGATAAAACTGACACATCAAGACAAACATAAACTCGCAGGTACGTACATAAATGAAGGTACGTACTGCCTACTATAAAATGTTAAGGGCAATATCACAGTTGTAAGCTTTTAAAGCTTCGGTGTAACACGGTGTCCTGTAATTGAAAACAGGTAGTCCATTTTCGATGTGTCTATGTTTTAACTGCTCGTTATTATCTAAATCTATTTCGGAATATTGCCACTTCGCAATGCTAATGATGTTTGAATAATAGGTTCGTCAGCAACCTTCGACTGTCTCTTCATTTTTTATTTGTCTGGCGAACACTTCTGTTTATAATTTTTCTAAGTTCAGCAGCTCTACATGAACTTTAGAATAAGCTTAGAAATAGTATTTTTATTGTGATATGATCCTTAATGGTCAAGCAAGTCACGACGATGATAAACGAGATGCAAGATGCAAAAACCACATCCGTATTAAAGATGAGGTTTAGGTTTACATTATCGGGTTATTAATACCATTTGATAAATATCTTCGAAGAAATGCTCGTTCTGTTAAATCGTGTTTTGAATTACCATTAATCTTTTTCTATAATCTATGAGGCCACACACGCCATACCTACGTGCTAATTGTTATACTCTATGCAAGTTAGATGCAAGTCTAAATAGCTAATTACGTGTAACCTACACTATGAGTGTATGTGTGTGAGAGTATTAGATGACTGTTTTATGTAAATTTTTTGTTTGTTTGTTATCGTTCACGACTTTATAATATAGTATGTACTACCAGCTCTGCTAGATTAATCGGTGTGATATTTGACCATTTTATTTAATACTAGCGGCCCACCCCGGCTTCGCACGGTTGCAATGGAATTTCGCAGCTTTTCTCTTCTATAATATGCATGTGCTTCATACATATAAACCTTTCCCTTGAATTACTGTATCTATTAAAAAAAACTGCATCAAAATCCGTTGCGTAGCTTTAAATATCTAAGCATACATAGAGTATGTAGTGATTATTGTAACAATTGGCATTAGGTTATAGCCTAGTTGATCGACTGTAACAGAAAATATAGGTACTAGATAGAGTACTTGGAATTGTTTTCCTAATAAATGTAGAGTTAGATGTGAATTTTTCCATTGGTTAATTCATGCACGAAAATAAAATAAATGCGTTGTTTGTCTAAGTTTTTGAATTAATTTGTTATAAGTAAGTTAAATGTACATACTCAAGATAGACATGTAAGTACGTCTTTTGGAGTAGACAGTAAATAGATACATAGTTTTTTGTATCATACCTGCAAATATGTATGTAACATCTACTTACCATTACTTACGACACTAGTATTATATTATCTGTGCTTATGACGTAGAAAATAATTGTGGTAGGTAGTAATTCAGCATAAATCTATAATTTGTTACTTCGTGTTTTTTGTTTGTAGCACTTTATAAAAAAAATTAACAATCCAATGTTATTGATTGAGTTAGAAAAGGCTTTACTCTTCCGTGTATCTGATGAAATAGCTGGTCCATCTTTTTATTACCTACTATGCCAATGAATAAAGTTAATTATTTTATTGGTTTGTAATTTACTACTACTCGTATTTGGTTCAAACATATTTCTAATCCTAGCTAGATGTCATTTATACAGTGTGTCCGGGCATGTAGTGATCAAACTTTATGGGCCAAATCTAGGGACAATTTTATCGATAAAAATACTTCAAATTTGGGGCTTGACCCATTTATCGCAAAATTACAAGGATTTAAGTTTTTAATTTTTAGTTCTCACCTCTTCCTTCAAAAACAAGTGAAAGCGTGGGTAGCTTAACATAAATAAGCAAATATTTTATATCATGCGATAGCCAATAAAATTATCTATTAGCAAAAGTAGAAAACAGATACAAGTTTCATACATTTTAAGGGAGTAATAATGGATTTAATTAGAAAAAAACATGCGTTTTTTCGCTTCTTTTTCAGTTATTTTCCAACACAAGAAAAACCAGGTCGTTAAGGTATGTTTTATTTGCATTGTATTATTAGTATTTGAGCTATTCTACAAAACGAATGTAAATTTATTAGTCTACGTCTATTAGTTTCGACGTATTTGTTGAACAAAGATACCCCTTCCCAGCGGTTTCCATAGTAATCGGAATAGGTTGTGTGATTCTTTCAGGCAGTGCATTTTCGCATGTCGCGTGCGCTATGGAAACCGCTGGGAAGGGGTATCTTTGTTCAACAATTACGTCGAAACTAATAAACGTAAACTAATAAATTTACATTCGTTTTGTAGAATAGCTCAAATACTAATAATACAATGCAAATAAAACATACCTTAACGACCTGGTTTTCCTTGTGTTGGAAAATAACTGAAAAAGAAATGAAAAAAGTCATGTTTTTTTCTAATTAAATCCATTCTTACTCCCTTAAAATGTATGAAACTTGTATCTGTTTTCTACTTTTGCTAATAGATAATTTTATTGGCTATCGCATGATATAACATTTTTGCTTATTAGTGTTAAGCTACTCACGCTTTTACTTGTTTTTGAAGGAAGAGGTGAAAACTAAAAATTAAAAACTTAAATCCTCGTAATTTTGCGAGAAATGGGTCAAGTCCCAAATTTGAAGTATTTTCATCGATAAAATTGTCCATAGATTACGCCCTTAAAGTTTGATCACTACAAGCCCGGACACACTGTATAGTACTTGTACTATGTAGGTAAGTAGATAAAGTACTTATATTTTACTTAACTGTGACACACAAATAAAACTCAATAATTATATTAACATTGATATATTTTCGATTTTATATAATACATACTATAATTTTCGAACGCCCTCTCTACTCAAACGAGATAACTGACCAATATTGAATCAATAGTTTAAACCACTATCGATACACATCAGTGACTAAGACAAAAAATTCGATGAATGACCACGAGA